TGTCCTTTCGTACTTTTGCAAAGACATTCTGCTTTCTTATTTTTTTCTGTTAAACTCATTTTTTCACAGTTTTTAAAACAGCACTTGTCAGTAAGCAGACTGCATGAAACCTCCTGAACACGCTTTTTGACTAGTAGATGAAAGGCAGTATTTGTTTTGACAGAGGTTTGAATCGAAGCTTTCACTGACTTCATCAGACTTGATGTACTGTAAGCTCTTCTCATGCACCGTCATTCTCTTCTTCTTTTTTTCTCTCGCTGCATTGAATATTTTTGCTTTAAGTGGCTGCCTTAATTTTTTAAGTACAAACAACTTGGATGATTAAGTCATTTCAACTTAAATTACATAAAAAAATGGTTGAATCTTGTATAACTTCCGAAAAGTAGAACATGTCTTTAACTTATTTTGATGAGATAAAGCAATGCAAAAACATATGTTATGTTATAAATTATCGATCATATATTTTTTTTTACAGTGAGGCCATCATCATCACCGCCCATCTTAACAGATAGAAAATCTGTTTAAGCAGTGAAACTAAATGAAGAGTAAATGGAGAGCAGACCTACATTCATTGTGACTATTGCTTTTTTTGTCTCATATTTGATCAAGTTTGCATCATAGATCGTTATTTTCCTGTTTATTTCTGTGAAGCTGCTTTGAAACAAATAGTATTGTATAAAGCAGGCCTATATGCTAAAGATGACTTGACTTCTAGGCCCATTGTTTATATTATTTATTATACATTTCAGGAGAAACGTCCAAGACGAGTTTGCACTACTGTAAAAGAAACGTAGCCTTATACTCACAACTCCATTAAGTCACATTAGATACGAAAGAGCAATATTATTTCCTCTTAGTTTCCATAAAATAGTTGATCTCCGTGTAAGGAAACATCGACATTTGACTTAAAATATCTGTTAAATGTGCTAACAAACCTCCCCAGACAGCAAGCCAACATTGAATAAACGTTTCATATTTGATCAAGTTTGCATCATAGATCGTTATTTTCCTGTTTATTTCTGCAGAAGCTGCCTTAAAACTATCAGTTTTGTATAAAGCAGGCCTATATGAAGATGACTTGACTTCTAGGCCCATTTTAATATTTCAGGAGAAAGACGAGTTAGCATAGGCTACTGTAAAAGAAACGTAGCTCACAACTCCATTAAGTCACTTGAGATACGAAAGAGCAACTGACTGAGCAATATTATTTCCTCTTAGTTGCCATAAAATAAATGATCTGTGTAAGGAAACATCGACATTTGACTGAAAATATCTGTTAAATGTGCTATAAATACTAACAACAAACCTCGTGACCCTGAAAGAAAAATGAGAACCAGCACTTGATTCTGCTGAGGAAACACACGGCATTGATTGGTGAGAAAAATGATTTTTCAACAGCACAGGCTTCCGAGAAGGTTCCCGAGGAGGAGGAGGAAGAAACCAGTGAATCATTTGGGTTAGAAATATTAACATAAGCGTGACAGGAAGAAAAGGGGATGGATAAAATCCGTGGTGAAATATAAATGGCTGGAGGAGGGGAAAAATATTAGTTTGAGAGTTGCAGAAAACATCCAATCAAAGCGGAAATCTTATATAATATATGTTGTTGATATATGTGCTTATTTCTATTGAACTATGTTTTATTAGTCAGTCAAGTATTCCAAACCCTTCAACAGTTTTCATACCTTCAGCAGTTTAATAAAAGCTTCAGCACTTCACAATATAAACGGAAGCTTCTGCAGATGCGTCTCTGTCTGAAGGACAATAACTCCCTCTACTGGACACTGGGAGCACTGCTTTCAGATTGTCAGAATTGTCATATAATTTACCATGCGCTGTACAAAAAGTTGCTCCCTTAGATTTTTTAAGTACAACCAACTTGGATGTTTGAGTCATTTCAACTTAAATGACATTAAACTGACTTTTAAATTTTTTTTTTAAAAGGGCTGAATCTTGTTAAATTTATAAAAAAAAGTTGAAAATTGCTTAACTTATTGTGATGAGTTGAAGCAGGGTGAAAACATATGTTGTCATAGCTTACTGATCATATATTTTTTATTTTTTACAGTACAGAGACATACAGGAGACATTTTTAACCCCTCATTTATGACACACAAAATGTAATGCAGAAGTGCATTTTGTGCGTCACTCCTCAATATTTGTTGAATAAATTCAAAATTATTTTGAGCAATATGTAAACCATGACCAGTGATTTATAAACACAGACCCTGATCATATAATGCCATATTCTGTTAATGTGTTAATGTGATCAGGTAATGCCAGTTGTGTTTTTGCCCATTTCTCGCATGTTTTTTCTTTCTTTGCAGTTTACAGTTAAATACTGACTCAACATCTTGCTCTGCTATGTGTTTGTCAGCTGTTAAACACTCCAGGATACTTTGGCTTTGACTCTATGGGTGAGTTTGAAGGTTTTGTGCACTGGCTAAAGGGCACATTCCTCACTGATGAGTCAGTTAATGACTGAGGAGATTAAAAAAAAGCAAACCAGTACAAAGTAACTATTTAAATCAATGTGCAACTGTGAATTATGCACAATCGGCTAAAAACAAACCAAATATGATTTTTAAGGTGGCTTTCTATAATGTTGACAGATCCATACCTTCAGATCCCTAATGTTCATGGACATCCAAGGATTATATTTAAATTCCAAAAAATAAATAAATAAATAAATAAAATTAAATAAAATTAAAGACCAGTAGAACATCAAAAAATGATAAATTCCAAAAATAAATAAATAAACAAATAAATAAATAAATACATTAATTTATTTAATTAAAATAAAATACTACCAACTAACAATTACATTAAATTAAATTATATATCTACATTTTTTTATCTATGGCATTCTTAATACCATAATGTTCTTAATATTCTCTTGCACACTGGTTTTTACCTCAGAATCAGAATCAGAATGCTTGATTTGAATAAAACACTGAGATGAATGTAGTGACTCATAGTAAACACTAGATGGCACTCTGTCCATATATAAAATCAAGCTTTGAGCCTTTGGAAGGGCTTTAAGAAGATGACTAATTTGATATTCTGTCAGTGGGCCTATTCATTCAATCCGCATTTCAGTTCTCCTGTCTACTTCTGAAATTCACTAGTATTTTCACTTATAAAGAGCACTGATGTTAAACCATACTCAAAGCATTTTTATCTTGTTTGAAACTCTAAGATGACTGGATCATTAAAAAAATGGCTGTATAGCTTGTGTATCTGTTCAACACAGTTTTATTGACTGGTTGGTGGAGTTTGTAAGATTCAACCCAAGAATGAAGAGCCAAATGTTAAGAACATAAACACTAATATTAACATTTAAAGGAATCATAGCCTATAGTGACCAAATGTGCTTTAATGTTGTTTGCTGAATCATCCAAACTCAGAGTTTGTATAAAAATGAAGGCAGAACGATAAGCCAGAGCAGAATGACAGAATGTTCTCTCAACACATTTTGTTGGCAACTGAAGGTCTCTGTGTTTGCTGAAGGATCATGGAATTAGTTTTGTCCAAATAAACTGGAGACACAGAAGTGGCAATCATACGAGAGGGGTAGTTAGTTAAATCCACACTTAAACAGCTGGGGTCCTGCTGACATTAGGGGGATGGGAACGCCACCCCTCCACCTAATACTGCACACACACACACACACACACACACACACACACACACACACACACACACACACACACACACACACACACACACACACACACACACACACACACACACACACACACACACACACACACACACACACACACACACACACACACACACACACAGATGTAGCAGTTGCTGTAACAATAGAAGATTCCAAACATTCCTTCCGATCTCATCTCATTCTGGCTCAGTTCACCGTCCTTGAAATTATTCCAAAAATTATTAAAGCCACGTACTAAATCTGAACCGATAATAAAAAAGACCACATTTTCCCCACCCTGTTAAAATATATATAGTGAGGGGGAAATGTAGGTATGCATCCTACGGACAGTTTTATTGTTCATTGTTTCATTCATTCACTCATTGCATAGCCAAGAGAAATAAAAACAATGACGTAGTCTCAGAGACAATAAACAGACAAAATAGACAATAAACACAGACTACACACTTTAGACAAAGGAGTAAAACAGCCATCTATAAGAATATAACAACTATCTATCTATCTATCTATCTATCTATCTATCTATCTATCTATCTATCTATCTATCTATCTATCTATCTATCTATCTATCTATCTATCTATCTATCTATCTATCTATCATCTATCTACCATCTATCTATCTATCTATCTATCTATCTATCTATCTATCTATCTATCTATCTATCTATCTATCTATCTGTCTATCTGTCTATCTGTCTATCTATCTATCTATCTATCTATCTATCTATCTATCTATCTATCTATCTATCTGTCTATCTATCTATCTATCTATCTATCTATCTATCTATCTATCTATCTATCTGTCTATCTGTCTATCTGTCTATCTGTCTATCTGTCTATCTGTCTATCTGTCTATCTGTCTATCTGTCTATCTGTCTATCTGTCTATCTGTCTGTCTGTCTGTCTGTCTGTCTGTCTGTCTGTCTGTCTGTCTGTCTCTCTCTGTCAGTATGTCTGACATTCAGTGATATAATATAGGCCTAATGCAATTCTAGCCCCTATAGCTACCCGAACCTTACCATCACAACTAATTGCATTACCCTAACCTTTAGCTAATTATAAACCCATGACCAAATCTTAAATATATAGCACGTTGACGTCATGTCCTGACAACTTTTAGTATTTAGCAATTTTTGTGTTTAAAAATGAATATTAAGGAATGTATAAACTTTTGGATTTCAATGAAATTCTCGCCTTGTATGTGTGAGAGAGTGAGTGCGCGCGAGCCCGAGGGCGCGTCACACACATACACACACACACACACACACACACACACACACACGCAGCGAGCGAGCGAGCGGTTCTTTGCGTAACACCGGAACTGTGATGTTCGGACCGCTGCAGCCCTACACTCCACAACACTATTATTGTTCATCATATATGATTAATTTCACTTTTCTCAAGTTTTCCTGCCATGACGCTCTGGATTCCCACTAAAAGAGAGAAATACGGAGTGGGTGAGTGACTTTCAAAGCGCTTTTGTTAGTTTTTAATCAATGTTTCACTCTGAAAACTTGCGTTGGAGTTTGAGCAGCGTTCAGCCGCACCTTTACCTGAAGACACACGCGCTTATGATACCTGTGTGAAAAGTTGTCAAGTTATTATACACAAACTACTCAGATGGTTTCATATAGCAAAATGGTTTAGATTTGTTGACATTTTGTTTCAGAGGATTGGATGGGTATCTCATTGCACTTTATGGTCACAAACAACATGTTTATTTGTGTATACTTTGCTTCATTGGTATATAAGTACACAGTACAGTGAATGTGGTTCCTGGAGGCTTGGCAGGACAATACAATTACAATAAATACAGCAACAGTGCGGCCAGAGTTACAGTGATCACACAGTCATTAACAGCATTTCCCTTCCAGTCACATTAATCTGTGCACATGAGCTCAGGTTAACACACCCATAAAGCCACACAGAAGGAACTCTTTTACCTCTCACTGCACAGTGACATATACAGTTGCTGGATTGTTTCGCAAATGCCCTTATAAACACACACACAAACAACAATTAAGGACATTTGCATACATTTGTGGTCAGTTAACAGGCCATACTCCATCTAAAACTACTTTTTTATGTAAAGTACCCTTGTGCACTTGCAATTTGGACTTACTTTTTTTTGTCCAAGGGCAACATTTGCCCCCTGGAATTGATTTTTTTTCCCCAGGTGGGATTTGCATTTATTTTTCCTATCATCCAATTGATGTCACATGCTTCATTTGAAATGACTTGAGGACAGTTAAAGCTCTTACCTATGAAATTAAATGACCTTTAAATTAGTTGATTTAGTTGAATCAACACAGTAAATGCTCTGCTTGCTTCATGCAATTGTCCAGTCTCTGTTTTCTTCATGTTTTCCACCCAAAAAACCCCCACTTTATATTATCTACACATTCAAAAACACTTGCCCCTGAAACAAGAGCAGATCTGATAGCTACACACACGTGATGTCTGCAGAGGGAGTCAATTTAATATTTAATGTTAAGCATTCTTTATCGATTAATTGCATCTAACATATTTTTTTTAATATATATATATATATATAGAGCTGTCAAACGATTAATCACAATTAATCGCATCCAAAATAAAAGTTTGTGTTCACATAATATATGTGTGTGTACTGTGTATAATTATTTTGTATATAAATGCACACACGTATATATTTAAGAAAAATATGTTATTTATATATAAAATGTTTATATTTATATAAAATATACATTATATATAGGCTACATTCAGTCTATATACAGTATATACATGCAAATATTTCTTAAATACACATGCATGTTTGGGTATTTATGTATTAAAAATAATTATACACAGTACACACACATATATTATGTAAACACAAACTTTTATTTTGGATGCGATTAATCGCGATTAATCGTTTGACAGCCCTAAATATATATATATATATATATATATATATATATATATATATGTTATTCGATGCAGTTAATCGCGATTAATCGATTTGACAGCACTAATATATATATGTAATTTTAGAATCGGAATGTGCAATGTTTGGACATAATGGACTGAATTTATGATTTTCAAAAAACATTCTACACTACGTTCAAAAGTGTTGGGACGGTAAGAGATTTTAAAAAATGTTCTTCAGAGGCACTACACTTATATTCAACTCTTCACTACATTATGCCATTCGGTACATGTTAGATAACAGATTCAGAGTACATTCTAATATTTGGAGTACTTTTGTTGACCTTTTTCCCCTGAGCGCTGGTTCATTTCTGACCCTGGTTGATGCACATGTATTTACTGTTGCTCTGGTGCGATACTGCACTTAGTGTTTATGCCAAGAGTGGTCAGCTGGCCAGTTTAACGCACACAGGGTCGATTGTTGTGGTGGAATGTTCTTAAGGGATATGTAATCTGTTGGTCAGACATCAAGCAGTCTGGTTCATACTCGGACGTTTTTCCTGCCGACGACTTTAACATACACTTGAGGAATTTGAATTAAAGGTGCTTTTTGCATTTTTTTGCTTTTTGTGGTAACACTTTACAATAAGATTTTATTTGTTAACTACATTAGTTAACATGAACTAACAATGATACTTCTACAGCATGTATTAGTATAGTTAATGTTATCTCAACATTTACAAATGCATTTCTGTTAACATTAGTTAATGCACTGTGAACTAACATTAGGGTGAACATTTATATTCACTAACATTTACAAAGGTTAATTAATGCTATACAAATATATTTAGTATAAGTATATTTTGATAACACTTTATTTCGATGGTCCACTTTAGACATTTAGGCCTAATAACGATAAGTAACTTTGCAACTACATGTCAACTAGCAGTCATTAGAGTATTAATAGACTGTCTGCTTAATATCTGACTTTATATCTATACTTTATTTTAATATCTATACTTTATTTTGAAGCTCCACAAACATTATACTGACTATAAGTAACTTTGCAACTACTTGTCAATGTACCAGAACCCTAACCAAACAGTCTACTAACAGTCTACTAATACTTTAATGAGAATTAGGTGACATGTAGTTGACAAGTTACTTATATAGAATGTCTAAAGTGGACCATCGAAATAAAGTGCAACCGATGTTTTTGTTGCTTCTGAACTCTAATCGCACTCATTCAAGCTGTTTTTGCACCATGAGTTCAGCACTTTTTTTGCTTGTCACTATAACCACAAGGCATTCGTCTCACTGCCCTTGTAAAGTGCTATCACATATTTGTTCTTTGAAATAGCTCGGTTCATCGTGGTACTTGAGCAAAGCGCTTAAAAATGCTTATGGCAAAATGACAAGTGGCAGTGTGCTAGTGTGACTTGCTTGTCAGTGATGTCATAGACGAGCCTACACAAAGACGGTCAGAATGGAGCCTGTTAGCACAGCCCACATCCCAGCATGCACCAGGCCAACACTGTGACACCTCTATGGGCCATTTGGCCCAGACAACAAATCACACGCTCAAATGGTGCCTAGTGTGTGAACTGAAGCATTGTCTGTGATGCCTAGACTGTGACAGCTTTTTTTAAGTGATAAAAAGTCTTAATATGGATTAAATGGTATTTTTGTCATTCTAAATGTAGCCCGCGGTGGCGAAATTCTCCTTTGTGTTTGACACTCCTCTTTGAGGTCTAGATTAGTTTGGGTGTGGACAGGAAGTTTCATGCACCTGTATTATAAATGAGTAATCTGAGCGAACCAGACCGAAGTTTATGTGCTGATTTTACGAGTTATGAGATATGGTAGCACATTTTCTTTTCTTCAATGTGCAAAGAATGTAATGAACCTGTTCTATACAAACTCAGCTGTAGATTAAACCGAAAGAAGTTGCTTCATACTTCTTTGCCGTGAAGAAGCGGACAGATTTACCAGTTGAGTGTGCTTGAGATCTGCAGTGCGCTAGTGGAAGCATGTTAGGAAACGTAGCCTCAAGCTTTTTGGTTTATCTACGAGTCTTTATTTGAACTGAACAATGTGCATGCCTGAACAAGGCCTGAGCTATTTTCCCCTGGGCTGAGTGTCATCGCGCTGTAGATAGTGTGCCACTGAAAAATAACAGTATTTTTTTTTAGCTGTACTTGATCTTTTTTATTGTTTAATGCATCATGAGTGGGAGATTTAAGCAAAACATTTATACATACCCTGCTGTTCAAAAGTCTCTAATGCTCACCAAGGCTGTATTTATTTGATCAGCAAAATACTGTGAAATATTATTACAATTCAAAATAACTATTTTCTATTATAATATATTTTAATATATTCTATTTTAAAATGTAATGTATTCCTGTACTGGCAATGGCAAAGCTGAATTCTCAGCATCATTACTCCAGTCTTCATTGTGATTGTTGCTTAATATTTTTATGAAAACCGTGATGCATATATTTTTTCTGGATTCTTTGATGAATAGAAAGCACATAAGTTGTTTAAAATCTTTTTTAAACATTTTAAAATGTCTTTACTGTCACTTTTGTGCATTGCGCACAATTTATTGCATCCTTGCTGAATAAAAGTATTAATTTACTATGAAATATATAGACTGGTTTTATTCTAAATATGTCACAGATTTGGTCACACTGGACTGAATTTATAATTCTTATGATTTTTAAGATAACGTTTTATATATATATATATATATATATATAGAGATACACTCACCTAAAGGATTATTAGGAACACCTGTTCAATTTCTCATTAATGCAATTATCTAATCAACCAATCACATGGCAGTTGCTTCAATGCATTTAGGGGTGTGGTCCTGGTCAAGACAATCTCCTGAACTCCAAACTGAATGTCAGAATGGGAAAGAAAGGTGATTTAAGCAATTTTGAGCGTGGCATGGTTGTTGGTGCCAGACGGGCCGGTCTGAGTATTTCACAATCTGCTCAGTTACTGGGATTTTCACGCACAACCATTTCTAGGGTTTACAAAGAATGGTGTGAAAAGGGAAAAACATCCAGTATGCGGCAGTCCTGTGGGCGAAAATGCCTTGTTGATGCTAGAGGTCAGAGGAGAATGGGCCGACTGATTCAAGCTGATAGAAGAGCAACTTTGAATGAAATAACCACTCGTTACAACCGAGGAATGCAGCAAAGCATTTGTGAAGCCACAACACGCACAACCTTGAGGCGGATGGGCTACAACAGCAGAAGACCCCACCCGGTACCACTCATCTCCACTACAAATAGGAAAAAGAGGCTACAATTTGCAAGAGCTCACCAAAATTGGACAGTTGAAGACTGGAAAAATGTTGCCTGGTCTGATGAGTCTCGATTTCTGTTGAGACATTCAGATGGTAGAGTCAGAATTTGGCGTAAACAGAATGAGAACATGGATCCATCATGCCTTGTTACCACTGTGCAGGCTGGTGGTGGTGGTGTAATGGTGTGGGGGATGTTTTCTTGGCACACTTTAGGCCCCTTAGTGCCAATTGGGCATCGTTTAAATGCCACGGCCTACCTGAGCATTGTTTCTGACCATGTCCATCCCTTTATGGCCACCATGTACCCATCCTCTGATGGCTACTTCCAGCAGGATAATGCACCATGTCACAAAGCTCGAATCATTTCAAATTGGTTTCTTGAACATGACAATGAGTTCACTGTACTAAAATGGCCCCCACAGTCACCAGATCTCAACCCAATAGAGCATCTTTGGGATGTGGTGGAACGGGAGCTTCATGCCCTGGATGTGCATCCCACAAATCTCCATCAACTGCAAGATGCTTTCCTATCAATATGGGCCAACATTTCTAAAGAATGCTTTCAGCACCTTGTTGAATCAATGCTAAGTAGAATTAAGGCAGTTCTGAAGGCGAAAGGGGGTCAAACACAGTATTAGTATGGTGTTCCTAATAATCCTTTAGGTGAGTGTATGTATAATTTATATATATATATATATATATATATATATACACGCACGCACGCACATATATATATATATATATGTTATTTAATAATTTCTGTGGTAACTCACTCAATTCCATTGCTTCTATTCATGTTTGACGTCAGCTTTAGAGCAAGTGCTAGTAGGAGGGCTTGACAGCTTTAGAGACAGGAACTAAGGGGGTGAGGCTTAGCAACTGATCATTTTCTTCTTCACAGGGAATGTTTAAAGTGATCCATGTGCTTTGCACAATTGAGATATGATACTGGAAGGTTTAGATAAATCGGTTGACAAACTGGTTTATCGCCCAACCCTAGTATCAGCCAATCATGTTTCAGTGATTGCTTTGTCATGACACTGTTTCTTTAATGTAATTTAATATGTGAATGAGGAAAGTCAAGTTACCTTTGTTTACATTGCACTTTATACAGTACAGCTTTACAGTGATAAACAGGAAATTAGCGATTCAATGATGCAAACAGAATTGTGTTAGTGTGCTGAACTTTCCTAGATTTCATCTTTGTATGCACATACTCTCATTTTTTGTGTGGAGCAGATGGAAAGCAGTGTGGAGGCAGATGCATGGCACAAGGAAATCTTGCACTCCCACTAGTGTCCTTCAGCATTTGAGAGGGAGGGAAAACTCAGGCCTTGTAGTGCAGACATGCACACTCAGGTTCATCTGCAGTTCAACAGCCCAAAAAATGTTACTACTAGTATGAGGAAAGCACTCAGCACCTCTTAGTGTGTTCACATTCCACAAATCGGCACTTGTACAGTGCCCAACATTTCAGATGCTGTTTGTGCAAGCCAATATTGCAACCGAATATATCACAAACTCTCCTGTCGTCTGTTGTATCCCCTACAGCATGATGAAATGGACTTATTTTGCTAAGACAAGCATCACTATTAATATTGCTGTCTCTGAAGGACCCAAACTGTATCTTTGAGGTTTGAGGTCACATTTTAAGTGTGCCAAGAAAGGATATAACATAACAATCAGCATCATAAAATAAATCATCATCAAATCATTAATTACAAGCAATCATAAGTGAGTTAATCAATTACCAACATACAGTATGTCATTTTTAAAACAATTTAAGGAATAAAATAGTTATTTTTTTATTATATAGTATAGCTAAAGGCTCAATATGTAAGATTTATGGATTAAAATGTCCAAAAAGCATTTATTTTGTTGACTTGTGTACTTACATTATCCCAAATGTTTCCAACAATGTTTAAATCCAGAGAAATCAGCTATTTTAACCAGTGCAACGGTCCGTGTCATTGTGGCGCCTGGCCAGTGACGTCATATAAACAATAACCCATGATAGCTCACCCATGATCATGATTTCTGCCTGAGTCCTGTCGGATGTTTCCATTGGTTGTGGAGGTTAAGATGACAACTCCCATGATTCCACGCGCAATCACGGCGTCATCAGGCTATGCCTTTGTTATTGTTTTGAATAAGCGACCTCTAGCGGTAAAACTTACATACTGTGCCTTTAAAGTTATCTTTATTATATTATAAAGACTTGGGGTCAGACTTACTAACAGCTTGCGCCAGCAAACCCTCTTTTGGCCTGTGTTCTTTAATTTGCACGTTGTCAGTAGATCACGAGCAGAGCTTTTCACTCCCATTGGCACTTTTTTGGAATTGCGCTCTCACGCTAATTTGCACTGTTTAGTAAATCACCAGATGATGTGGGCTCTTTTGACCAGTATAACCACCCAGAACACCCTATCAACTGCAAAGCAACGTCCTTGCGTCATGATGGCATGTTTTTAAGGGCAAAATAAACTTGCATTATATTCTGAAAATCATTTTTTGTTGTAATCTCACAGGGAGTTTGGGTTGCATTTGACGTTGTTTGAAGATCTGAGTCATGTCAAGTGGCTGTTTCCCTGGAGAACTTGAGAACTCTCCACTTAAGAACTTGTGCAACAGTCATTTCCCTCTTTCACAGGACAGACAGCAGCCTTGTTGTTTTTGTTTTTTTGTTTTCTCTTTGCTCTCTGCAGTTTGTGACACACTCTTGTCTAAATTTCAGCTATCTATAACTATGATGCTAAAGGACAGCCAGAGCTGAGTCTTCAGGTTGGGGACACGGTACACATACTTGAGACGTTTGAAGGTGAGTGTTGAGTTCTTGGACACGTTTTGACATGTCCAACTACACTTTCTGATAGCGTGTTCACACTTGCACTGAACACATAATCTGGGGTATCCCAGTTCTGTTGTAGCTTTGAGAGATGTTTGAATGAATGGACTTCACACATGACCTGAACACACAAATTAAGTACCATATTTGCTTTGAGGATTTAAAGGGGTCATATTTTACACTTTGTTGCAGTTTATTTAACCAAAGTCCACTTATAATGTTTAAATTTTTTTCCATGACCATTTTCTACTCTCTCTGACCGTTAAGCTGGTGTCAAAGGGATAGTTCACACAAAAATATAAATTCTCTCCGAATTTACTGACCCGCATGTTATTGCAAATATGTAAGACTTTCTTTTTTTCTGTGTAACCTATAAAACATTTAAAATAATAATAATAATAAAAAATTCTTAATTTGTGTTCTTCAGAAGAAAGAAAGTCATACAGGGTTGCAATGCTTTGAGGGTATAATACTGCAATATTGTAAAATATTATTACAATTTAAAATAACTGTTTTCTATTTGAATATATTTTAAAATGTAATTTATTCCTGTGATCAAAGCTGAATTTTCAGCATCATTACTCCAGTCTTCAGTGTCACATGATCCTTCAGAAATCATTCTAATATGCTGATTTGCAGTCAACTTTCACAATGAAAACTTTTATATATTACCATTATCATAAATCAGCTTCCACCATTATTATTTAATTTACTCCCCCAACTCGGAAAGCTGTGTTTTAAAGACAATACAGAGTTTCCCACTGGTAATTATGACATTGTAGTGCTTGCATTAATGTCTCTCTTCTTGTAAATATGATTTATTTAAAATAGAAAACCTTATTTTGTTATTTACAACTGCCCTATTTTCAATATTTTCGCTAGCGATATTGTTAAATCCGAACAGAACATCTGCCTTATTCTGTTATATAAATAATATGGAACATAGCATCTGCCATGTGGCATCATCTGTCTAAAAAGATCTGTTCTTTTTCCTTCCTTCTCCCAGGGTGGTACCGAGGATACACACTACGACAGAAATCACAAAAGGTGTTGGGATAATTATCATCCTACTGAAAAAATGACAATCTAATCATTACCTGACATTCTGCAGCAGGCGGAATGAATTGCGTGGGTTCTCACAAATGCTTCTTTGTCTTATTTCAAAGGGCATTTTCCCTGCCAACTATATTCATCTGAAAGAAGCGAAAGTTGAGGGAACCGGGTAAGAGGCAGATCATATGTTAATTATGCTCTATAATTCATTAATGAAAAATTGTCCATCACTTATTTAACCATGTGCTGTCAGAAAAATGCACAGTTCCAGTCATCCACCGTGGCTTGTAGTTTTCTCGTTTACTCTGACACCCACTGTTGCACGATTGGAACACTTGTTCAAAGCAGTTAAAGGAAGGGTAAGCAATTTTCGGAGGGGCTAGAAATAGCAAGTTATTTTTAAAGGCATGAGATCCAACCCTCCCCTCAGAGCGCCTCCAAAGCCATGCCTCCTTCAAAACACATAAACACACAGCAGGGAGCAAAAAACTCTTCATGTTTTAAAACACATAACATTACAGTAATAATGAACATAACTTAAAGAGCTCTGACCTGTACCACATGACTGCTGCAGATTCATTTTGACGTTGATAGTGTTGCCATTGAAACGCATGAATTCAAGTCAGGAACCTCTCCGAGTATAACGTCACGGGTTTCCATCTCTTCCAAATCCCAGTATTTATGGCGTGAACGCAGCATAAGCTGGTTGTTTTGGTTCTGGAGGAACTGTATAAGGCGGCTGCTGTTTCGTTTGCGGCGCTCGGTGACTGACGTCTGTCTAACTCTGCATAGCATGAATCGCGCTGATGACGTCACGTGATGTCTGCGCGAACAGGTGTGTGTAGATATGGAAATACATGCAGGCAGGTAGGACATCGTACCATTGAATTCGGACCGAATGCAATGATTGGACACACATTTTATGGTCCTACGCCTTCCACAGATTATATATATATACATATAAAAATATATTTAGACCACTTAACTTAGTGATTGTTATTAGGATGTGAAGAAACTTTCAACCAGCATAACAAAAAATTTCTTTTGAACAAATCGCCTACCCTGCCTTTAAAATAATGCATGATTAATAAATATGGGGTAAAATGCTCTGAAATATATCATAGCAACACATTTGGCAAGAAAATATAGTCTGAATCTCCCAGCATGCCAAAGTCACACAACATGGTCACTGCATTGCTGACACGTTTTGGACCAAATTTAACTCTTCTAAGCAAGTGTTTCAACTGAATACATTTTTTTTCTCAGTTCTCAACATGTTTAGTCATAGTCAAAATTAGTGTAATTAGTGACATTTTTCTGACATGTATCTTTTAAATGGGCATTTTTATATTTTTAATTTTACTCTTATCAGTCATTTTTTTTAAATAAGGCATTTCAATAACTTACTAATAATCTTTTCATTGCAATTAAAGTGAAATTACTGATTCTCATGCAATGGAGCCTATACATATACACTCACCTAAAGGATTATTAGGAACACCTGTTCAATTTCTCATTAATGCAATTATCTAATCAACCAATAACATGGCAGTTGCTTCAATGCATTTAGGGGTGTGGTCCTGGTCAAGACAATCTCCTGAACTCCGAACTGAATGTCAGAATGGGAAAGAAAGGTGATTTAAGCAAATTTGGCATAAACAGAATCAAAACATGGATCCATCATGCCTTGTTACCACTGTGCAGGCTGGTGGTGGTGGTGTAATGGTGTGGGGGATGTTTTCTTGGCACACTTTAGGCCCCTTAGTGCCAATTGAGCATCGTTTAAATGCCACGGCCTACCTGAGCATTGTTTCTGACCATGCCCATCCCTTTATGGCCACCATGTACCCATCCTCTGATGGCTACTTCCAGCAGGATAATGCCACAAAGCTCGAATCATTTCAAATTGGTTTCTTGAACATGACAATGAGTTCACTGTACTAAAATGGCCCCCACAGTCACCAGATCTCAACCCAATAGAGCATCTTTGGGATGTGGTGGAACGGGAGCTTCGTGCCCTGGATGTGCATCCCACAAATCTCCATCAACTGCAAGATGCTATCCTATCAATATGGGCCAACATTTCTAAAGAATGCTTTCAGCACCTTGCCAATGCCACGTAGAATTAAGGCAGTTCTGAAGGCGAAAAGGGGTCAAGCACAGTATTAGTATGGTGTTCCTAATAATCCTTTAGGTGAGTGTATATATATATAAGTATGTTTTTTTTTTAATAAGTAGTATTTCAATGAATAACATATATTAAAAATATGCTTTGATTTGAATATTTATTACATTATTTAAATGGTCCAATAGTGACATTTCTTAACTTGTCATGACTGTATGCTTACTGGCTGAAATATATATTATTCAATATGCTGAATTGTGTTTTTAATTCAAAATTATCACTTAGTGTATCAAATAATACTGGTGACATTCTGCAACCAAAATGCCTAGTGTTGCAACTTTGCGAATGTTTTCCAAATTATGACTTCTTATAGATATAAAAATGATGAAAATCAGTGCTTGGGTCTCCCAGGTTTAAATAACTGCAAAAGGCATTTTTATTTGATTATCTGAGAACCTGACTGAACCAGGTTTTTCTTCTAACCTTCTGTTGATGTACAGGAAACAAGAGACTGTCGTACCAACAGATTTGCCCTTGGTCCAGGAACTTGGCGCCACACTACGGGAATGGACACAAATATGGCACACGCTTTACGTGGTACGTGAACCCACCTGTGTCATTTGTGGTTAGTTTGAGTTGAACTCATCGTCCGTTTCAGCTCAACACAGAGCTTCCCACAATGTGTTTGGTCAACAAAGACAAATCCCATCCCTAGTGTTTTGTAAGCTGTGATATGGTTTTTAATCAATTGTTCGTCTACATACCAGAACAACAAGACCACGCTGTTCCGGAACGTTCAGCAGATGGCCTACAGTCTGATCGAGTACCGCTCGCAGATTGTGTCCGGCACGCTTCCCAATGACGAACTTGTGGAGCTGAGGAAAAAAGTCACTGCGAAAATCGACTATGGGAACAGGTGCGGTACAGCTTCCCGAACCTCACGTTGTTTCACCGAACGGATCTTTTGATAAGTTTTCATTTGAGGAGTTTTATTTTTCTGTATATGTGATTTGCTGATATCCTCAAGCAGAAATATTGAATTTAACCTATTTAAGTTGATGGAATGCTTTAATACAACTGTTTAAAATAAATGATGATAATACAGTAAGAATTCTTGTGTGGTAAACTATGACTGTGGCTGTTGCACAGGATTCTGGGTCTTGATTTAGTGGTGCGTGATGAAGCCGGAAACACATTAGATCCCGAGCGCACCAGCACGGTCAGTCTGTTCAGGGCTCACGAGACCGCATCCCTCAGTATTGATGAGAGGATACAGGAGGAGAAGGTAAAACACTAGTTTTTGCTCTGTTCATGATCAAATTGGTATAATATATACGCTGGTACTAGGAAAATATTTTCTTTCTAGTTGCTTGTTGAACCCTGGGTCCAGAATTAGCACATTGCCAAATTGGATTTGATGAGTAATTAAAATAATTGGCTTTTTATTGTATAATGCATGGTTTGAGTTGCAATGCAAATTCACAGAATCAAATTAGGAAGGATACAAATGGTTGGTTATTCTGCTGTTATGTTTTGACAAATAAATAGGCTAAATATCTATTAACCTTTTATTGCACAATGAATTTTTATGAATCCCCTTTGAAGCACTGAAGCTAAATGATAAAAATAATGCAAAAGGTTATTTCCATGGCTGTCACCTGCAACTGAAAAGCGTGTTAAAAAGGTATTTTTGGACTTTGCATGAGCGCTTTCTTTGTACATTTCTTGACAATAAATACCCCCCCCCCCCCCCCAATCAACATTCATTAACATATTGGTGTGGTGATAAAACATTGCTTTTTAAATGTCAATTATTATTTATATAATTTTTTTTAATTTTGGTTTGTTGGGAAATCTTTTTCAAAATCTTCATTTGCATAAAAAGTTCAAAACATTATTACTTAAAGAACTCATTGACTTTCCTCTCAAGCGTGTTTTGAAGGTTACATTTAAATTGAAAAATTGTAATTTATTTTGCATTTGACAGATGCTTCTTTCCATTGCATTCAGGTATACATTTTATCAGCTAATGCATTCCCTGGCATTGTTAATCAAACCCATGACATAACTTCAGGCAAACTGTCCACTACTTCTTGAATTTTCTCTTGTCTTTTTGGGTAGATGCGTCTTCAGAGCCTGGAGAAGCGGCGTCAGGCCCTCTTCAGCGGCGTACACACGTACAGCATCCTAATGAATCTCAAAAACTTTGTATGCAACATCGGCGAAGACGCAGAACTCTTCATGTCATTATATGATCCTGACAAGTCTGAATTTATTAGGTGAGTCTGTCTCTTCCTTTTGTTTTGTTCTTTAAAAGCAGAAGAGCAAAAGGATTGAATGTCCACTGCGTATTGATGGACTTCTGTTTGAAATAGACAGTTGCTTTAGTTCTTTAAAAGCTGAAGTACACCAGTATATTCCACAATGAGCAGCTAGTGTGCTTGTGTAGGTTTCAGTGGTGAAAATATTACTGGACAATGAATAACATGTTATTTTATTTCATGACTTGCTTTATGTTAGAGAGAGAATGTCCAAGAGATTGAAAACTAATCTGTTTTTTACAAGTTTTTCAAAAGATGCATAAAACACCTAGTCATTGTGGTTCTTTGCTTTCAGTTAGAGCCTTTATATTTAAGAGCTTGCATCATGAATCATCAAATTTTCCTTGACATTTTATATTAAAAGGGTGTATTGTATTATGAAAACATACAGGACAAGAACTCGAAACATCCTGAGTCCATTAAAACTGTTTATTAAATTCAAACTTGAAAAGTGTCCCATTTCGAAAGCATTGGATTTTTGATGAGGGTGGAAAATAGTCATGAATATTAAATGAACATTTAACATTATAAGTGGACCCTGTCATAAGCTTGTCATATAAAGGCAACCTTTTCTTCACAGACGTAGCTTGGTCAGTAAATGTTGTTTGAGCTTTGTGGAAATAATTTTCGTGACGCATTTTGTCTTTTCCTATCAGTGAAAACTTCCTGGTGCGGTGGGACAGCACAGGCATGCCGAAAGAGATCGAAAAACTCAACAACCTTCCTGCGCTCTTTACGGTAAGAACAGGTATTTTGACTACCGGCATAAATGCATATATTTTAAAATGTAATTTATTCCTGTGATGCAAAGCTGATTTTTCAGCATCATTACTCCAGTCTTCAGTGTCACATGATCCTTCAGAAATCAAGAATTCTCTAATATGATAATTTGCTGCTCAAGAAACATTTCTTCTTATCAATGTTGAAAAAAGTTGTGCTGCTAAATATTTTTGTAGAAACTGTTATTCATTTCTTCAGTATTCTTTAACGAATAGAAAGTTCAAGAGAACACCATTTATTTGAAATATATGTTTTTTTTGTAATAATGCAAGTCTTTACAGTCACAACCAGACAAACAAACAAACACTTTGACCCGAAACGTTTGAACAGCAAATCTAAAAATGATTAAAAAAAGCATGGGATTGTTTTGAATAATTGTAAGTGTGACCTGCTGTTCTTCTTCTGTGACGTCCCTGTGTTCAGGATCTGAGCAGCAGTGACCTCATCAGACAGCGCCTCTTCCTGGTGTGTCAGATCATCCGTGTGGGATGCATGGAGCTGAAGGACGGAAAGAAACACACAGGAGGGCTGAGGAGGCCGTTTGGAGTAGCAGGTTCTAGAGTCTTGTTTATTTATAGGTGGTCTAGCTGTAGAAGATCCAGAGCTTTCCTAGATCTTCTCTTCATTTCAAACTTCATATTTGGAATTTGTTTAGAACCATAAGTGTTTGTCCTTTTAAATTGTTAAAATGGTACACTTTACAATAAGGTCCAATTAGTTAACATTAGTTAAAGGTGCAAAACGCAAGTCTCTGAGTTTTTGCAGAACTACGCCCCCTCTGGCGACAAGCGAAACTGCAACCAGAGTTGTGCACGCTCATGGACCACACGCATCTTTTATTGGATATGTTTTATGTTGTACTATTCTTCCGAACACAATTCCTAGTTTATGAAACTGTTCACTAACAATGGTAGTAAAACCAATTCTGATTGTACATGTATCTAGCTTACGCTAAAGCATTACACATTTTACGCATCGTCATTTGTTGTCATACATAGATTGGCCGTATCAAACATTAGAGACTGGGCTATATCTTACCGTTTTATCAAGAAAAAAGCCAACTGAGGATCCCGTTTGAGACCAAGAGCAGACCGGAGATCTCTCCATTTGTTGAATGCCTTCCCGAGGTTGACTCTCGTCTTACTCCAACGCTTGTCTGACTCCAATTTGGACCTTTTGGTGGCACTAGACAAAATGTTTCTTTTCTTTACTTTACGTGGAGTTTGCGTTGGGGTTTGGAATGGACTACAAGCCGGTCTCTTTGAATCCATCTTCTACCTTTGACGCACGAGTTGTCTTCGCTGATGCGGAGAATGGCGGCGCCGGCGAATACACAAACCTGCGAGACACAGCCTGGTGAGCGTGAACGCGCATGACGTCACGCCCAGTCTCAAAAAAAAATATATTTTACTGTACAGGATTATAGAGGCAATCTCAGTGCGCAGAGAAGGGCTCATTCAGCCCATCAGGCAGTTCTTTAAGCATGTATAGGATAGAAAAACAGGTATTTTTAACATGAAAAGTTGCGCAATGCACCTTTAATGCAACTAACTATGAGCAATACATTTGTTACAGTATTTATTAATCTTTGCTAATGTTAGTTAATAAAAACACAAGTTCGTTTGTTAGTTCATGTTCGCTCAGGTCCATTAAATAGTTTTAATAGATTTTTTTTTTTAATTATGTATTACTAAATGTTCTGAGATTAATAAATGGTTGACAAGTATTTTTCATTGTTAGTTTGTTAAATAAGTAGTTAAGTGTAGCCATTAAAATAAATGCACAGAGCTCTCCACAAGTCATTTCTGTGCCACAAGCATCCTGGAACAGATTTGCAAAAATACTGACCGTTTTCAGGCAGATTCCCTTCCACCTCAACAGGACGACACAAACAGCTTTACAGCTCAAATAACACACATTTTGTTCTGCTGACTACAAGTGCTTTAAAAACAACAATACAAACGACACATTTCTGCTTTTAAGCTCTTCAGCTGTCTTGGCTGCTGGGCTTCAATTATGAGTGCATTACTGCGAGTGCACTTTTTGTCAGTTTTCATGATCTTGAGGGATGCGACAACTTCATTTTGTGTGGTAATAAATCTTAACTTGACAGATGTGTGTGAACAAGGGTTTAATTGCATCAAGAGAAACACAACAATCTGTGTTTCTCTAGTATTTTGATGATAACACTTTTACTTTTTTGCTCTGCCTCGTATTGTCAAATATGTGAGCAAAAGACATTATTTATCTGTATTGCCGATTTTTTTTGAGAAAAATGAAAATCTTTCCCCAGGCAAGCATGCATGACGTTTCGCATCTCACAGCTTAGTGTTCTCTTGCCTTTCTTTCTCCTGTTTATCATATTTCAGTTTAAAATGTCCAGTTTTGCAGGTAGCTGAAAGACCCAATGATACTATTATTATCTTTCCTGGGTCTAACTCAATAATGTCACATGAAATGGTTACAGTGTGAATAGATGTTGTATCAAACCTACAGGTGACCCACATTTGTGGAAAATAGTTTCTTTTTGTTCCAAAAGGACATTGTGTCAAGTGTTTTGACCTTTTTTTTTTTTTTACTGCTGACTCACTGTAGACAAAAACATCAGGTTGAATGCCTGCATTGTATTTTTCAAGACGAAAATTGAAGCAATTTTTACCGTAAGCTCAGACATATTGCATCACTGGCTTATAACATTCATCCTGAGCACAGACAATACCTTGGTTATCTTGTTGTGAACATGTCTGTCCATTTTTTCGTGGTTGATGGTACACAATTAGAGAGCTAAAAGACATGAGAGTTTCAGGAAAAGCAGTTATTAGTAGGCAGCATGATCACAGAATAATGATGTTTTTCTTAGATTTAATAATCTGATTTTGAAGATGATTTAGTGTCTGTTCATTTGGTATTCAAGCTTGCAAATCACAAGTCGATATTGAGGTTTCTATAGACTCAAATTAGTGTCGAAATCTTTAGTAAAAAATCTTTTATCAACACTGAAACATATTCAAAGAATTGAAATGAATAGTTTGCGCCACATATTTGACCTCGGAATACATCTCAAAACTAGTATGCATCTCAAATGCAAGTTATTTTCTCTCTCTAAGGGAATGTGAATAATACAGAATGTAATAATTAAATGTAATGTATCTGCGGTTCGGATCAGCTCTAACCTCCTGTTCTTTGTGTTTACAGTCATGGATATCACAGATATAGCCCATGGGAAAATTGATGATGATGATAAGCAGTATTTCATCCCTTTTCAACAGTGAGTGTGTCCTTTTTGAGATTAAAATATCCTTCATTTACATGATTGGTTTCTCTTTTCACGTTTTTTTTTGTGTGCACTTCTTCATGCATTGTTGTTTATCTTGGGCAGAGTCCATCATATACTGTTGCCCCTAGGCTATATTTTGCTATTTCTTTCAATTTTGTCCTTCTCCTCTTGGACTCTCTCTTCCTAGGATTGCCATGGAAACGTACATCCGTCAGAGGCAGCTAATCATGTCTCCTCTCATCCCGTCTCGTGTCATTGGCGAGAACGAGCCACTGGCTGCCGTCTTCAACAAGGTCATCGCAACGCGAGAGGTCAACCACAAAGGACAGGGTAAATGCAGACCAAAAGGCCCAAAAAATGATCTTTGGTCTTGTGTTTATGTCTCTGGCAACAAATGTGACCTTGTGGAAGTTTCTCGATTGTTGTATGAATGTCGAGTATTTGGAAAGTTTGAGAGAATGAAAACCGGATATCTATCTATCTATCTATCTATCTATCTATCTATCTATCTATCTATCTATCTATCTATCTATCTATCTATCTATCTATCTATCTATCTATCTATCTATCTATCTATCTATCTATCTATCTATCTATCTATCTATCTATCTATCTATCTATCTATCTATCTATCTATCTGTCTGTCTGTCTGTCTGTCTGTCTGTCTGTCTGTCTGTCTGTCTGTCTGTCTGTCTGTCTGTCTGTCTGTCTGTCTGTCTGTCTGTCTGTCTGTCTGTCTGTCTGTCTGTCTGTCTGTCTGTCTGTCTGTCTGTCTGTCTGTCTGTCTGTCTGTCTGTCTGTCTGTCTGTCTGTCTGTCTGTCTGTCTGTCTGTCTGTCTGTCTTGTCTTTCGTTTGGTCTTGTCTTTCGTTTGGTCTTGTCTTTCGTTTGGTCTTGTCTTTCGTTTGGTCTGTCTGTCTTGTCTTGTCTTTCGTTTGGTCTGTTTGTCTTGTCTTGTCTTTCGTTTGGTCTGTTTGTCTTGTCTTTGTCTTTCGTTTGGTCTGTTTGTCTTGTCTTTGTCTTTCGTTTGGTCTGCTTGTCTTGTCTTTCGTTTGGTCTGTTTGTCTTGTCTTGTCTTTCGTTTGGTCTGTTTGTCTTGTCTTTGTCTTTCGTTTGGTCTGTTTCTCTTGTCTTTGTCTTTCGTTTGGTCTGTTTGTCTTGTCTTGTCTTTCGTTTGGTCTGTCTGTCTTGTCTTTGTCTTTCGTTTGGTCTGTCTGTTTTGTCTTTGTCTTTCGTTTGGTCTGTCTGTCTTGTCTTTGTCTTTCGTTTGGTCTGTCTGTCTTGTCTTTGTCTTTCGTTTGGTCTGTCTGTCTTTGTCTTTCGTTTGGTCTGTTTGTCTTGTCTTTCTGTCTTTCGTTTGGTCTGTCTGTGTCTGTCTCTTTCGTTTGGTCTTTGTCTTGACTTTCTGTCTTTCGTTTGGTCTGTCTGTGTCTGTCTCTTTCGTTTGGTCTGTTTGTCTTGTATTTCTGTCTTTCGTTTGGTCTGTTTGTCTTGTCTTTCTGTCTTTCGTTTGGTCTGTTTGTCTTGTCTTTCTGTCTTTCGTTCGGTCTGTCTGTGTCTGTCTCTTTCGTTTGGTCTGTTTGTCATGTCTTTCTGTCTTTCGTTTGGTCTGTCTCTTTCGTTTGGTCTGTTTGTCTTGTCTTTCTGTCTTTCGTTTGGTCTGTCTGTGTCTGTCTCTTTCGTTTGGTCGGTCTGTTTATCTTGTCTTTCTATCTTTCGTTTGGTCCGTCTGTCCGTCTCTTTTGTTTGGTCTGTTTGTCTTGTCTTTCTGTCTTTCGTTTGGTCTGTTTGTCTTTCTGTCTTTCGTTTGGTCTGTCTGTGTCTGTCTCTTTCGTTTGGTCTGTTTGTCTTGTCTTTCTGTCTTTCGTTTGGTCTGTTTGTCTTGTCTTTCTGTCTTTCGTTTGGTCCGTCTGTCTGTCTCTTTCGTTTGGTCTGTTTGTCTTGTCTTTCTGTCTTTCGTTTGGTCTGTTTGTCTTGTCTTTCTGTCTTTCGTTTGGTCTGTTTGTCTTGTCTTTCTGTCTTTCGTTCGGTCTGTCTGTGTCTGTCTCTTTCGTTTGGTCTGTTTGTCATGTCTTTCTGTCTTTTGTTTGGTCTGTCTCTTTCGTTTGGTCTGTTTGTCTTGTCTTTCTGTCTTTCGTTTGGTCTGTCTGTGTCTGTCTCTTTCGTTTGGTCTTTGTCTTGACTTTGTCTTTCGTTTGGTCTGTCTGTGTCTGTCTCTTTCGTTTGGTCGGTCTGTTTGTCTTGTCTTTCTATCTTTCGTTTGGTCCGTCTGTCTGTCTCTTTCGTTTGGTCTGTTTGTCTTGTCTTTCTGTCTTTCGTTTGGTCTGTTTGTCTTGTCTTTCTGTCTTTCGTTTGGTCTGTCTGTGTCTCTCTTTCGTTTGGTCTGTTTGTCTTGTCTTTCTGTCTTTTGTTTGGTCTGTCTGTGTCTGTCTCTTTCGTTTGGTCGGTCTGTTTGTCTTGTCTTTCTATCTTTCGTTTGGTCCGTCTGTCTGTCTCTTTCGTTTGGTCTGTTTGTCTTGTCTTTCTGTCTTTCGTTTGGTCTGTCTGTGTCTCTCTTTCATTTGGTCTGTTTGTCTAGTCTTTCTGTCTTTCGTTTGGTCTGTCTGTGTCTGTCTCTTTCGTTTAGTCTGTTTGTCTAGTCTTTCTGTCTTTCGTTTGGTCTGTTTGTCTTGTCTGCCTGTCATTCGTTCTGTCTGGTAATTGTTTCTGAGATGATTTAGTCTGTGTTGAGAGATCCTGCGCCCTCAGGGCTGGAGTTTGTTGACTGACGAGACCTGTCCGACTTATAATGGCATATTTTTGCTTTCAGGTTTGTTTGTGACCCTAAAGCTGCTCCCTGGAGATGTGTTTCAGGTTAAAAAAGATTACCCTCATTTTGTGGATCGCACAACAGCTATAGTCAGGAAAATGGGCTTTCCTGAAATTATCCTGCCAGGTTGGTCTGCACATCTTTCAGATTGTAACATCTTCGTCTTAATAACAGTGCTATTAAAGCCTTTCTTACCAACTTTAGTAAGTCCATTTGCAGTTGTCTCTTCACCCAGATCCTCTAGTGACCATTACTAGTCAACCTTTATGTACAGTTCAGTTAGTGCAACTATTATGTCTCTACAGGTTATGTAAGGAATGATATATATGTTACACTGCTACAAGGAGAATTTGATCGTGGCAAGAAGAAGACCCCCAAAAATGTAGAAGTTATAATGAGCGTGTTGGATGAAGAAGGAAATCCCATGGAGGTAAAAAAAAACAAAAAAAACCCATAAAATTAAATATTTACTAACATTAATATCAGGATAATTAGGATATTCCCACAGCAGTGCTTGGTAAAGGGCACTTGTTAAAAACCAGTAACTGAATCCTGATTCAAAATAAACACATGACAACAGCTTGAATTACATATTTTTTGCATAAGTTGGTTCCATTGTCCTCCGTTCTTCTTGTTTATATTGACTAACAGTTTTTACCTTCTCTATTTAGCATGCATAGCTCATCCACCCCCTTTATCTCTGTGTTTTGACAGCAGAACTGTTGCTGGCATAAAAACAGCTCACAGATCTTTCTCCTTTATGAAACGGCTGCTGTCTTTAAATGTCCAACAGTACAGAAAGCTTTTTACAGTTCTGTTCTTGCCAAATGCTATTTCGATCTGTAATGCACAGAAATGCGTGTCCTGTTTACACCCGTGAACACGGAAAAATACAAAAAAAATTCATTCTGAAACATTTCCTAAAAAGATCTCCCCTTTTAAGAGATTTAAGCTTGTCTTTCAGTCTTGTTGTCATTTTATATACTGCACATTATGCAACACAGTTTCCTTCAACTCAAGCTGTGCGCTACCAACTTCTGGTCTTGTTAACATTGAACTTTTTCTGCTGCAAACCACTTACTGTATGTAAAACTATTTTTTTCCAGTAAATCTTTTTTTTACCTTCTCAATCTCCCTTCAGAAAGCCATGTTTCCTGGAGCTGGTTATGAAGGGATCACTGAATATAAGTCTGTCATCTACTATCAAGTCAAGCAGCCCTGCTGGAATGAGACGGTTAAGGTACAAACACCAGGACGAAAACAAAAGCATCTGGGTTCAGGTTTTTGAAGTTTTGAAGCTAAAGGCCCTTTCATATGACTCTCGCAAGCATTCTCCAATGCAAAGCATTAATCTACAGTACAGCACAACCTCGCTTTATTTTGCATGCAGTGTATTCAAGCGTTGTAACCTGTAACTCAAAGTTCAACAGTTTCAACTTTTTTAACAAGATGGAAGAGCGACTGATTCTTTGTGCAACTGAAGTTGCATGTTTTATTCATGATTTATTTTTTAAGCACTTCCCATAAAGCCAATCACGTTTTAATTGTAAAAGTACAAAACATTTTTTTTTTCATCTCAGTTTCTAGTAACACATATCGGCCCCCAACTCTCTAATAAATGTCCATTTAAAAAATTTGTAACGCTTTACAATAAGGTTTAATATGCTCACAGTAGTTAACATGGACTACCAATGAACAGCATTTGGGTAACACTTTATTTTAAGGTGCTTGTAATAAGCAGTAATTAACAGTTAATAAGACACTTATAAGACCTTATAAGATGCATATAAGATGCATATAAGTATTAACTAATGATAATATATAAATATTAAATAATACATTTCTCAAGTATCAATACATTGCACTTTTAGAACAGCCGAACAAACATAAATGGTAACACAAACTCCCAGTCCCTTAAAAATTGACCTTCCCAAGAGGGAGTAGTTTCCCTGATCTCTTCAGGGCCTGGACCTTTAATTAACCCTTATATGAAGTAGTTAATGCTTATATGCATCTTATATGCATCTTATAAGGTCTTATAAGTGTCTTATTAACTGTTAATTACTGCTTATTACAAGCACCTTAAAATAAAGTGTTACCGTTAACTTCAGTAAACGCACTGTGAACTAACAAACTAACGAACAAACAATAAACAATTATATTTTTTACTAACTAAGATTAACAAAGATTAATAAATGCTTTAAAATATATATTTCTTATTGTTAAGCTTATGCAAATTAGATGTTATTTTAAATTGTTACCAAAAAGTGTTCCCACTATTTATAATAGTTCCTCAAAGTAAGAATGGTGTAATATCCTGACAAAATGATCTGATACATTTGTTTACACGTAAACACACACAATGTCAAATGCATATCATGACGATCAGAGAGAGTATGTTTCCTTTTCATTGTTTCTGTAATGTTTTAAAGTGATCTCCAGGATTTTTTCTTATTTTAAGATCAAATGTGTTCCCTCTATCATTTCCTATTTCCACTGCACACACCTGCCACTTTCATGCTGCCTAGCAATAAAATAGCCCTTCTGTGACACTGCCAGCAATGCTTTTCATGTCAAGGTCAATTGAACTCCTGACGCTTGTGTTACGAGGTGTGTTGAAGCCCTTCACATGGGTCATATGAAAGGGACTTAAGAACTGCACCAGGGCTTTTATTCACTCGCTCCCTTCTGTCCGTCAGGTGGCCATTCCTATTGAGGATGTGTGTCGATGTCACCTGAGGCTGACCTTTAGACACAGATCTTCTCAAGATTGTGAGTCCTTATTGTGCATGACATTGAGGTTGCAAGAACTGTACGTAGAAGCTAAAGACTGTGGTATCTGTTCTCTTTTTTTCTTTTTCATTAATGCATTTATGCAGAGGTTCACAACCTTTTTGTCCCGGTCACGTTTGTTGCGTGCATTTCACATTTTATATGTAAGTCCAACATGGGGCTAAATATTATGCTCGGAAAACATATATATATATATATATATATATATATATATATATATATAAAATTAGAGTTTATAGAGATCTCACTTAAACACATTAGCATTTTTGCTGACCCCAGGTTGAGAACCTCCGCACTACTCTATGTTCAAGTTTGTTTTAATGTTGAAAATTTGTATGCTTATATTTCTGTAGCCAGAGATAAGTCTGAGAAGCCTTTTGGCATGGCCTTTGTTCGCCTGATGAAGTCGGATGGCACCACACTCCCAGATGGAAAACACGATCTCATTGTCTACAAGGTGGGCATCTTAAAGGAATGTTCTGGGTTTTCTATTTGAATATATTGTAAAATGTAATTTATTCCTGCGATGCAAAGCTGAATTTTCAGCATCATTACTCCAGACTTTAGTGCCACATGATCCTTTAGAAATCATTCTAATATGCTGATTTGCTGCTCAAGAAACATTTCTGATTGTTATCAATGTTATAACCAGTTGTGTTTGTGAACAGTTTGTGAAAACCGTGATGCATTATTTCAGGGTTCTTTAATGAATAGAGAGTTCAATAGAAAAGCATTTATTTAAAATAGAAATCTTTTGAAACATTATAAATGTCTTTACTGTCACTTTTGATCAATTGAAGGCATCCTTTCTGAATGTGAAATGTATTAATGTCTTTCAAATAAAAAATATATTACTGTCCCCAAGCTTTTGAAAAGTAGTGTTCTTTCTTCGCTGAAAGCATTTCAGTCAGTTAAACTCATCTTAGCACATAACCTTTGGGTCTCTTCAAACTTTTCTGAACTTCCCTTTATACCTGCAGTATCTGTTGTTGTTCCATGTCATGTGCCCTTTCTGTTTCAAACATGCAGTGCCACTACAAGTTCCTCTTCTGTTCCTACAGGTGGATGTGTGGATGTGAAGAAAACGGACGATGCCAAGACGTATTTGACTCTGCCTGGCTCGTATGCTGAAGTGGAAGAGAAAGAGAGACAAACGGGAAAATCCTTCCATCATGCCGGTCTCATTCCTATCACCAAAGACAGCTTCCAGATCGCCACCCTCACCTGCTCTACAAAGCTTACTCAAAACGGTATTTCCTTTAGTAAAATCAACAGCACTTCCACCACAGTCATTTATTATAATTTTAATTTAAATATTTCCACAGTATATCACACAATTTTGTCATAATTTTCCCTCATGTCTTTGCAAACCTGACATTGTCTCTGCATATTAAACTTAGGAGACACTGTTTTTACACACATTACCTCCAGATTTCATTTTCACATTTATTTGAGCGCTTTTCACAATACATATAGTCAAAGCAGCTTTCAGAAAATTTATTTTTCTAGGTTACAATTAAGATTAATCTGTGATCAGAGGTGACTGTGTCAAAATAATGTCCATACGGCAGAAATACACAGTTCTAAGAAAATCACGCAGTTAGCTAACGTCATGTATTCATTTAAGCAGAAACAATAAGCAATGACTACATGTGATCATAATGTGATCATATGATTTGGAACAAGAGGGATGAAAATAGATAATGACAAAAGTCTAATTTTGTGCTAAACTCTCACAGTATGTAACGGTATGAAACAGCAAAGTTCTTGCAGTAGGTGGATTTGTAAAACTTTTTTAATTTCCTCTGACTCAGTTGACCTTCTGGGGCTTCTCAACTGGAGATCAAACACCGAGAGACTTGAAGAAATTCTTCAGAAACTGATGGAAGTAGATGGAGGGGAGATTATTAAAGTAAGGTTGTGAGAAAACACAACACTTGGCCTTCTGCAAAATGCTGCTTTATGATCTAAAGTTTTTGTTGTGTGTTTCTCTAGTTCCTGCAGGACACACTAGACGCTCTCTTTAATATCATGATGGAGACCTCAGAGGAAGAAACCTATGATACACTAGTTTTCAATGCCTTGGCAAGTATTGATTATTTAACTCGCTCTTCGGAGATCCACTAGTTGCCAACTATGCTTCTGTTTTATAGTTTTTCCAGTAATGAAAAACCTTGAAATATCAAGGAACAATCAAAGAAATTACATGTAAACTTTCCTGTTAATTCGTGCAATGATTTGGTCCCAACATGCCACATGAGTGTAAGTGTTAAATATCCCCAATAGAAGTTACACACCAAAGCTTAAAGGGTTAGTTCACCCAAAAATGAAAATTCTCTCAGTAATTGCTCACCTTCATGTTGTTCCAAGACTTTCGTTTTTTTATATTTCATATCTTTGATGAAATCTGAGAGCTGGATCACTCCTTCAGAGGCTGCTAGGTAATTGCATCTGCCGGCCCAGAAAAGTTAGTAAAGACATCGTTAAAATAGTCCAAGTGGCTCAACCTTAAGTTTATCAAGCGACGAGAATACTTTTTGTGCGAAAAACCAAACTTTATTCAACTCTTCATTTTCTTCTGTGTGTGCCTCTGACGTGAGTTCACGAGATCGCCACGACGCATGCGCGAGAACTGAGAAGATGACGCTCACGATCATTTGATGGGAAAGTGTGAAAGGTAAGCTATTGATTTTGCGGCATTGGTAAGGCACGTTTACGTGGCAAGAACCTTACGTGGTAAGAACCATTTTAAAGCAGCACTAAGTAGGAATTCCGTTTTTGTCAGACAGCGACCCCTAGAGTCGCTGTGGAGTACTTGTACTGTCGTGAATAGCACTCACGCAGAGATGGCTCGCACTCACGGCCGGATCCCCTCCCCCTGTACACCGGTACCTGTTCAGTAGGATGGACGCTGTAACGAGTGGAAATAAGGTATGGCCCCTTTAAGAGCTGCGCGCGCCCAACACCACATGTATACGGCGCCGGGTTATTTCTGTTTGATGCTCATTTTATCAGATCTGTTTTTTGCCGTAAAGCAATTCGTTACCTCGCGAGACCTGATATCACACGATACTTCCTAACACTGAACACGGCCCAAAGTTGCAAGGGTGGTTTTGCGGCTCACAGGCACCAGGGGGGTGCGAGACGACCACCATTCAACACGAAATCAGTAATATAAACATTACAATGACTCCAAAGCTGTTCGGTTAAGGTAAAAAAGTTACTTAGTTCACCTTTAAACACTACATCGAGACCCATCTGCGTCATCTTCTCAGTTCTCGCGCATGCGTCGTGGCGCTCTCATGAACTCACATCAGTGGCCCACACGGAAGAAAATGAAGAGTTGAATAATAGGTTTTTACAAAAATCAAATATTTTTAAAATCTTGAAAAAAGACTTAATTTTGTAGTGGTATTCATAGTGTGGGATGCTTGTTCCAAATGAGCGATACTTTCACTGTTACTCACAGTTGCGGTCTGGCATTAAACTTTGGTGTATACGTTTTCTCATCGTGATACAAATCATGTGGCTTGTTGGGGCCAAATCATTGCACAAAAGTTAGATTAAAGTTACCAACTGTATAAAGAGTGCTCTGCCACTTCTGCCGAGTCATTGCGTTATCATTAGTTATTCATATGAGTAACCTTAATGCCATTACACGCCATATGGCCATCTGCATGTGGGATGTCTTCCCCCTCACAGACATACAAGTCAGATTATTCCTCCATATGATGCGTACTTTATCCGTACATCATTTTTTTAAGTAGTTATTTTTTTTTATTTTAGTCAGTTTTTCAACCACTGTTCACTGAGAGTGAAGTTAGCTTATAATCCTTTGAGGTTATGCATCATGTCAGAAGATATAAAATCAGCCATCAAGTTGGATATTAATATTTTCCCCTGCCAATTCGATCTTGGTTGCATAGTCTTGCAGGGACTGAGTGACTTCAATTTGATGAAATATAATGAAAACAAATGTTTTTCTTCTGATGAATTATTCACAATAAGATACATTTATTAAGAAAGTAAATTTAAATTTCATGTTGTCTTTAAACTTTATTAAAGTCATATGATTATAATGTGAAGTGCTAGACCGTTTATTTTTGCTTTATTTGTCCAGGTTTTTATCATCTCACTGATTGGTGACGTAAAGTTTCAGCATTTCAACCCTGTTTTGGAGACCTACATTAGCAAACACTTCAGCGCTACTCTGGCGTATCAGTAAGAGTTAATGTCTTGTTTGGATTTCGCTGTCCTTTGTGTCACAGTTCATATGTTTTAATAGAACTCGGACATATTTTTCCACATTTAATTCTCACTTTGCCAACTCGGGCTAACACTCTCTTCTTCTCTAACCTGTTGTTCATATACACCTCTCCAGTGACACACTCAGTTGTGACTTGTATTTATTTGCAAGCGTGCTGTAATTGCCTCGGTTTGCCTTGTCTTTTCACAGGAAATTGACCAAAGTGTTGAATTATTTTGTGGGCCATGCCGAGAACCCGGCTCATACAGAGCGACTATACGCCGCCTTGAAAGCCTTCAAATATCTTTTCCGTTTCATTGTGCAGTCTCGAATACTCTATTTGAGGTGGGTACCGGCCCTTATTTCCTCTCAAAAAGAGGGCTTGATTGAACTTGTCCTTCATCTGACAATGCAAATGAAAAAGCAACAGTAAATATTACACTTTAGAAATCACTCGCTTCTATATTGGTACAAAGACATATTTAACCTCCATATGGACATCCATGGATAGATAGATAGATCGATAGATAGATAGATAGATAGATAGATAGATAGATAGATAGATAGATAGATAGATAGATAGATAGATAGATAGATGGATAGATGGATGGATAGATGGATAGATGGATAGATGGATAGATGGATAGATAGATAGATAGATAGATAGATAGATAGATAGATAGATAGATAGATAGATAGATAGATAGCTAGATAGATAGATGGATAGATAGATAGATGTATAGATAGATAGATAGATAGATAGATCTGATGATTGCATGGACAAGCATCACTAAAATGTTCTTGACAAAATGTTTTTCTGTTTGTTATTTGTCAGGTTTTATGGGAAAAGTGAAGATGCAGGGCAGTTTCTCGACTCCATTCGTACCTTATTTCTCTCAATCAGCAATCTGATGGACAGACCTCTGGATGAAGGAGTTAAGATAAAGGCAGGTTTCACTACATGGATATTGACATTTAGAAGATACCTTTACAGATGTAATTTGTGAACGCAGCCATTTGTAAAAGCCACAAATAAATATTCACACTACTGTTCAAAAGTTTTTGGGCAGTAATTTTTTTTATTTGAAAGAAAATAATACCCTTATTCAGTTACAAAAGATTTCTATTTCCAATAAATGCTGTTCTATTCATCAGAGAATCCTGGAAAAAATGTATCACAGTTTTCACACAAGTATTAAGAAGCACAACTGTTTTCAACATTGATAAACATTAGAAATGTTTCTTGAGTGGCAAATTAGCATATTAGAATGATTTGATTTCTAATATATATATATACAGGTCCTTCTCCAAAAATTAGCATATTGTGATAAAGTTCATTATTTTCCTTAATGTAATGATAAAAATTAAACTTTCATATATTTTAGATTCATTGCACACCAACTTAAATATTTCAGGTCTTTTATTGTTTTAAAACTGATGATTTTGGCATACAGCTCATGAAAACCCAAAATTCCTGTCTCAAAAATTAGCATATCATGAAAAGGGTCTCTAAACGAGCTATTAACCTAATCATCTGAATCAACTAATTAACTCTAAACACCTGCAAAAGATTCCTGAGGCTTTTAAAAACTCCCAGCCTGTTTCATTACTCAAAACCGCAATCATGGGTGAGACTGCCGACTTGACTGCTGTCCAGAAGGCCATCATTGACACCCTCAAGCAAGAGGGTAAGACAGAAAGAAATTTCTGAACAAATAGGCTGTTCCCAGAGTGCTGTATCAAGGCACCTCAGTGGGAAGTCTGTGGGAAGGAAAAAGTGTGGCAAAAAACGCTGCACAACGAGAAGAGGTGACCGGACCCTGAGGGAGATTGTGGAGAAGGACCGATTCCAGACCTTGGGGGACCTGCGGAAGCAGTGGACTGAGTCTGGAGTAGAAACATCCAGAGCCACCGTGCACAGGCGTGTGCAGGAAATGGGCTACAGGTGCCGCATTCCCCAGGTCAAGCCACTTTTGAACCAGAAACAGCGGCAGAAGCGCCTGACCTGGGCTACAGAGAAGCAGCACTGGTCTGTTGCTCAGTTTTGCATGTCATTCGGAAATCAAGGTGCCAGAGTCTGGAGGAAGACTGGGGAGAAGGAAATGCCAAAATGCCTGAAGTCCAGTGTCAAGTACCCACAGTCAGTGATGGTCTGGGGTGCCATGTCAGCTGCTGGTGTTGGTGCACTGTGTTTTATCAAGGGCAGGGTCAATGCAGCTAGCTATCAGGAGATTTTGGAGCACTTCATGCTTCCATCTGCTGAAAAGCTTTATGGAGATGAAGATGTCATTTTTCAGCACGACCTGGCACCTGCTCACAGTGCCAAAACCACTGGTAAATGGTTTACTGACCATGGTATTACTGTGCTCAATTGGCCTGCCAGCTCTCCTGACCTGAACCCCATAGAGAATCTTTGGGATATTGTGAAGAGAAAGTTGAGAGACGCAAGACCCAACACTCTGGATGAGCTTAAGGCCGCTATCGAAGCATCCTGGGCCTCCATAACACCTCAGCAGTGCCACAGGCTGATTGCCTCCATGCCACGCCGCATTGAAGCAGTCATTTCTGCAAAAGGATTCCCGACCAAGTATTGACTATTGAGTGCATAACTGAACATAATTATTTGAAGGTTGACTTTTTTTTTGTTGTATTAAAAACACTTATTTTATTGGTCGGATAATAATATGTTTAATTTCTATAGCGCCTTTCAAGAACCCAAGGTCGCTTCACAATGTAATACAAATAACAAACAAATAGCAAACAAACAACAAGCGAACAAATACAAAGGCCATCTGCTTACGAGAAACAGAACAGATGGAAACAAGCATAGATATTCAATTATCATCCATAGCGCTGTTGAAAATACAGCAAAGTACGTTTAATTTTCAAAATACTTTGACAATTATTCAAAGATGGAAACAATTGCAGAGATATTCACAGCACTCAAAATATAAAACCAGTGGTCAAATCACTATTGCACAATCGCTCATAATAATGTTAATGTAAACGCACAATATAGTGTCTTATAATAATGTTTATCTTATAATAAAGTTTTTTGCACCAAAAACAGCCATAAATTAGATTTCATCACCGACCAAATATTGACTATTGAGTGCATAACTGAACATAATTATTTGAAGGTTGACTTTTTTTTAAAAATTAAAAACACTTCTTTTATTGCTTTTATTCTTTTATGAAATATGCTAATTTTTTGAGACAGGAATTTTGGGTTTTCATGAGCTGTATGCCAAAATCATCAGTATTAAAACAATAAAAGACCTGAAATATTTCAGTTGGTGTGCAATGAATCTAAAATATATGAAAGTTTAATTTTTATCATTACATTATGGAAAATAATGAACTTTATCACAATATGCTATTTTTTTGAGAAGGACCTGTATATATAGTATATAACAAAAAATGAATTAAAAATTAGAAATGTTTCATGAGTCGCAAATCAGCATATTAGAATGATTTCTTATATATGTATATATATAATTTATATCTGTTTTTCTCACAGGGAGCAATCTTGAAATATCTTCCCACCATCATCAATGAATTGCAGAAGGTCTTTGATGCTGTAGAGCTCAGGTAAAGTGAAAACTTCATTGCCGTTTTTTTCTCCAGAAATCATGGTTACAGTGAATGTAAATAAATTGCGTCAGTGTTTCTGATGGATATAGTTTCATACCACCCTCAAATGTTACAACTACCATCGTATCTTACATGATCAAAAAACTGCTAAATGAATGGGATCTGTGTACAAAAAACAAACTGAATGAAATGTTTTCTTTACACACTATTACTGTGTGTAAAGAAGATCACATTTTTATTTTCAATAATTGCTGGGATCAGATCATAAATACACAATGCAGAATTGGACATTCCAGAATCTTACACAAGTTAATAATATCAAGTGAAGATCCACCGCTATGATCCTCATGCCGGAGCCCAGTATCTCTGAAAGATATTTGATTCAATTTTGTGGTTTTAAGTTCTCTTAGGAAATTATATTACTTTCGGAGATAGTGCCCTGTATCCATTTTAGAGTTTTTATCTAAAGCAAACTTTAATAACCTTAATTTAATCTTTTATAGCATTTCAACTTCTTACCTGCCAAGGAAGCTGGCATGGCATTAAAAAGCCAAACAACAAGTCCTGATAGTTATAAAACAGAAATGTGAAGCTTGTATTTTCGTTGAAGCATGAGCAATTCAGTAAAAAAACAGTTTAATTTGTTAAGCTTTAAAGTATAAATGTCTTTCAACCATTATCACTGACAGAACGCTTGGCGCGCGATCTTGTGGAAAATTGGTTGACATCTCTAACAGGCTTGTAAACATCCAATGTTTGAAGACCAGTTTAGACAAATTAAGGGTAGTGTATCTCAGATGTTCACTTCACAGATGTTAAAAAGTATGTCAGTTCTTTCTTTTCTTGTTCAAAATACGTAATTCCTCTCTGACTTACGTTTTCTTGTACCGTTATTAATTTATAGTTAACACTGCGTTTTCGTGGAACACTTTTTTTTCTTTCTTTCTTTCTTTCTCTCTCTCTCTCTCTCTCTCACAGTGTTCAGCTGGCTAAGTTTATCGAGAGCATCCCAGATTTTCAGATGGTGAGGCAGAAGCTGGGCTGTCTGGTGAAAATTGTTGAGAGTAACCTGTTCAAACAGCCAGGTAGGACTTGACACAACATATAATTTATCTCATCGACATCACACTAAATGCGTAAGTGCACAAGCTGTGTGTCATTCTAAACCCCTCATATTCTCTGTTGTGCTTCTAGACTGCAGAGATGTTCTGTTGCCCCTGATCACAGATCAGCTGAGTGGACAACTGGACGATCACTCCAACAAGCCTGATCTTGAGGCCTGTGTACAGCTGCTGAGCACTGTACTGGACATGCTGGACTGCAAAAACGTGGTGAGTGATGTGGTAGAGCATCCCACATCATGTTTCTTGTGCATCAAATCAGCATATTAGAATGATTTCTGAAGGATGTGACACTAAAGACTGGAGTAATGATGCTGAAAATATAGCTTTTCCTCACTGGAATAAATCGCATCATAAAATATATTCAAATAAAAAACAGTTATTTAAAATAGTAATAATATTTGACAATATAACTGTTTTTACTGTATTTTTGATAAAAAAAATGGACCATCGGCGAGAGTCATGGTGGCTACTTCATAGTGAAATATCTGGCTACACAAGACTATTGAGTGACTTTTTGCATGAATACAGACAGGCTGATCTTTCAACCATGATGCATTTCACTTGTTTGTTGATATGACCGCACATTCAAGATTGGTTGACATTTCGGTTGATATGTATTGAGACAGACAGACATTTCAGGTCAAACTCTTGTGACTTGTGAGCAGCTCTTTGCTGGAGCAGATGCATTGCAAATTTCCAAAATAAGGTCAGTTAAGGTCATTTTATCAGAGAGAGAGTAGTTTCGGGATTCAGTCATCACTCATTCAACCGTCCTTCGGTGCATGTCATCCACCTTTTTATTCTTTCAGGGTCCCACGTCCGGTCATGTGAAGTTAATCGTGGACCGTCTCTTGCGGAGGGTCAACCGTACGGTCATCAACCTGAGCTTGGACTCTCCCTTCATAGTAAGACATAAGCACGCACAAAATTGAGCTTTTCTAGAAAGATTTAGCGGAGATAAATCCGCTTACCTTCCTGCCAAAGCTGGTGTTATTTCGACCGCACCGTGGCAAAGCCCACACACACCTGCTGAAACTCACAACAACAGTTTGCACCACTGAACTTAACTTGTTTATTTCTTTGCCCAGGCTCTTGGCTATGAGTTTTCTCAGCGGTGTGGGCAGCATATGTAAAGCTATTGATTATTCCTTCTCTTCCTCTGGACACAGGGCCACTACCTGGCATGCATGACCGCTATCCTGAAACAAATGGAAGACGCGCATTATGCACAATACATCAGCACCTTCAAAACCAGACAGGACATTATCGTAAGTCTCCCGCTCTCTCCGCAGGAGCCATCCATCATCGCAGATGCAGAAAGAGCCTTCTGTGCCCAGAGAGTTTAGTTATTAATAATCCACCTTTTGCACAGCTGCCTGATGCGACGCATGTCGTCGGTCGAAGTGAGTCAGGGTTTAATAGCAGAACGAAATAAGTGTGTTCAAAGCGCCGCTTCAAATTAGCATGTGTTTTTCCTGCTCGGTCATATATTTATATATTTGCCGGTCTGCATTTAATTATATAATTCCTTGGCGTGTACATACATGCTCTTAACAACGATAAATCGTGTATTTTGTTGTCTCCCCCCACCAGGATTTTCTAATGGAGACTTTCATCATGTTCAAAAACCTCATGGGCAACGTGTTTCCGCCTGACTGGATGATCCTGAATCTTCTCCAAATGAAAGTCTTTCTGCGGGCGATAGACCAGTACTCGGATGTTCTCAACAAGTACTTTCTGGACTCCGCTCACTTCCACTTACAGGTCAGTTTGACGAGGTCTCGTTGTTACGATCTGTAAAGGTCTAGGAGATGGAACGCAACATTCAGATATCACACTACTGCTGGTAGATTGGGTACAGCAGAAAAAAAACATGAATAGAATACACGAAGTGTTGGAAACGTGATCATTTATTACAAAAAACCAAAGCCACTAGATATAGTGAGTGAGCTATGTTCAATGTAAATGAAAACACACGGAAGGAAAAAGAACATACAATACAAATAATAATAGGGAAAAGGAACTTAAGTGGCGCCAAAGTTAAGAACCAAATATAACAAAATAATTCCCTTAAACTATTCCCCACAACCTCTAACCTAATAAAAGAAAAAGTGGAAAATAAACCGAATTCTTCAGCGTATTCGACGCTCTAAAATCCTTCTCTAACTAAGAAAACAAACACACAAAGGGTGGCGCACACTTCTTACCTAGTGTGTCTAACACCTGAGATTTACTACGGGCACAATGGACATCGCGCGATCTACTGACCTGTTCTCTTTTCCCACATAGGCCTAAAGAACATTAAACAGAACATTGGCGTAAAGCACAAATAACTCTAAGGAAATGAATGTTAGACTACACATACACTAATGGGATTTGATTAAACTGATACAAAGTATGCAACTCATGACACTGAACACACACATACACACACGCACTGCCAAACGAGACGCGCTGGAAGTCTTTGAAAACAGCGGGGCGACAGCAGATTGGACGCAGAAGAGCCGCCCTGATGATGATTGACAGCTGACACGGCCTATCACAGGAACCTGAGAGCAAATAGGAGGCGTACAATAGAGGGAGGGAAAAACAAAAACAAAAGGGGTTTCAAGTACGCAATTATGCCTCAGGCAAGACCAAGGTTATATTTCCAGAAATGCAATAGTGTTTCTGGTTGTGCAAACCACCAGTGCTTCCCAGTGTTGCTCCGGAAAACAACTGCTCATTGTAGGCAACTCACCAGAACCGGTTCCATTTTTCCAACCGGAAGACATTCGGAGGCCAGTGTTGTCTGATGACAGAACAAATGGCTCTTCACAGTTTGGGGTTAATGAGAAATAATACTTTTCTTCGGTAAGGAAGCATTCATTTTGTTAAAAAGTGAGAGTAAAGACACAGAAATAATGTTACAGAAGATTTCTATTTCAAATCTGTTCTTGTGAACTTTCAATTCATTAAAAGAGTCCTGAATAATTTTTTATTATAATAATAATAATAACAAATGGTTCTTGAGCAGCATATCAGCATATTAGAATGATTTCTGAAGGATCATGTGACACTCAAGAATGATGTAATGATGTAATGACGATGATGAATAACAAGTAATGATGCTGAAAATTCAGCTTTGCATCACAGGAATAAATTACATTTTAAAATATATTCAAATAGAAAACAATTATTTTAAATTGTAATAATATTTCACAATATCACTGTTTATACTGTATTTTTGATCAAATACATCATGATTATACTTCTTGAAAAAAAAACATAAAAAAATTATATCAACCCCAAGCTTTTGAACGATAGTATAGATGAAGTAAAATAAGATACAGCTTAACCAGAGTAATCTGATTCACAAAAGAAGAACTCTTACGAATCTTGTAGTGTGGCTTAAATTGCGTAGTTACTGACTAATGGGTTACAGACACACTTTGTGTTTCCACTTTTTAGTTTTAGTTTTGTTAAGGCCAAGTAGTATGTGATATGAAGACCAAACAGGTTATGAAAAATCTGTGTAAACATGCCTTTTGTAGGAATTATTTTACATTAAATGGAAATGCATTTCTTTTCAAATATGTAAACCTACTAACAGAATCATTAATTGAACCTTTAATGAACCGTAATGGTATGTTGAATAAGAAAATAATGAATGTTGTCTGTGTCAAAAGGAATATTATTTTTCTTTAATCTTCTGAGATAAAAGAGTTAATTTTACTAACCATACTGTAATTTTCAGATCTCGTACTTCCAACCAATCCCCAGAACAGCATTGCTGAATCCTTAATTTGAAAAATGCTGCCTTCACAAGCAGTATATAGAGGCAGTAAAGGCATTAAGGCAATCTGATGTCCAAATCTGATGTTTGCACAACATCCTGCCTGCTAAGACCTGCTGCCTACTTAGTTCTGGTTGTTTTTTGAAGGCAGCATAGATCATGTTTTTTGTTGGTTGGAATGAAAAGGGCATCTGACAGAGTGGTTAAAAGAAGTAAATAAATGTATTATTGTCCAATCTAGGATTCTGTATCTACCAGGAAATACACCTTGTAGTCATTAAATATTCTAAAACTCACTTTAATGTGTTCTAGATCATTAAACAGGACCATCTAAAACCAGGTATCCAAAAGCAAATCCACCAACACAGCGTGTAAGCGTAGCAAAGCTCCGTTTCTCATTTAATATGTGAACAGTGGATTTTCATCTCGATTAATCCTAAGGGTCTGAGAGAGTGTAAAAAATGCTCATGAAAATCTAATTTATGGCTGTTTTTGGTGCAAAAAACTTGACGAACATTATTATAAGACACTATATTGTGCGTTTACATTAACATTATTTGAGCATTATATTTTGAGTGCTGTGAATATCTCTGCAAGTTTGCAAATTGCCTTGTACATGTCATTTCTTCCAGGGAAATAATGTAAGGGCATTTCTATGAAGCATATGAACGCTTTCTGGTGATTGCATGCTCTTATATAACATGTTTTTATGCTGCTCAATGGTGATTATCTTTTGGGAAACCGTATGGATTTTGCACCCACGGGAAGCCTTGTGCACTTTAGGCATTTTGGAAATATCATCCATAGCGCTGTTGAAAATACAGCTAAACTTTCTGTTGCTTGGTTACCATTCATCCAACACCCTATGCATCCAAACTATTTCATCCGTAAGACCTCAGGCAATTAAAAAAAGCAATTGCATTACAGTATATCAATACAAACTAATTTGTTTAAATAATCAAAGCGTGACTATGCCTTACTCATCTGTGATATGTAACCCAACACTCAAGGATAATTTAAAAGCAGCGTCCGAGTGAATTTCTAGCTCTGGGTTTGCAATGGTAGAACGAGGACAATTCTGGTCCTTGAAACAGTGAAATAGTAAATACAGATTTTCCTCAGTAATTCCACTTTTTGTCAGTGCAATTACTATGGTTATAAGTATTAAACATATCCTTTACCATTTGCGCAGACATAAATGATACCTCAAATTGTGCATCTTGTTGAAATACATACATACACAGTTACACACACCTATATACAATATGCATATAAGAATACTAGGATATTACCAAGGTGCATGTCTTAAACCTAGTAATACCATGGTATGTTTTGGTCCTTTTTTTTTTAAATGTAATGATAATGAGACCAAAACTCATCAAAGGGCCAATTGTCTGAAGTTGCAGGATATTGCTGTACACAGATGTTTTTAATCTTTGCCTCATACTTGTGATATTTTTCTGTCCGTTTTGTACTGAGGAAATTGTTTTGCAGTGATGATTTCCTTTTGTTGTTGCTTCAATAGCTTTGGAACAACTACTTTCACCTGATTGTTGCCTTCCTTACCCACAAGTCCTTGCAGCTGGAATCCTTCTCTCTTGAGAAACGAGACAAGATTCTCAACAAGTGAGTGAGAGACATTGTTCTGTCTATTTTTGAGTTCACTATTGTTTTTTTATTGTGTTGGTTTTGTTTTAAAGGCTGATATTAAATTAAACTCGATTAAATTGTGTTCCTAAAAATGTAAACAGGTGCGGAGACATGCGGAAAAGCATCGGCTTTAAGCTGGGAGATATGTGGCAGAATCTTGGTAAAACCTTTTTCCTGTGCCTCTTATCTGTTTGAGACAGAGACATTACAGAAGCTTCAAGAGTAAAGAGACTTTCTTTTTGTTCAAATTGCTTTTTATAGAGAGGAAAATCACTACTGTACCGTGTCTTTAATGGCTGAGCCAAAGTACATATTGCATATAAAAATGGAAAAGAACATTTCGGCATTTTGGGACATCATTTGATGTATGTGTCACTTCCAGGCCCAGAGAAGATAAAGTTCATCCCTGCAATGGTTGGGCCGATCCTGGACGCCACGTTAGTGCCTGAGCCTGACCTGAGGAAAGCCACCATCCCCATCTTCTTTGACATGATGCAGTGTGAACACAATGTTAGCTCCAACCACACCTTTCAGAAGGTGAGGGTTGTTTTTGGACCAGGGTTACTTTGAGAACTGTTCCAAAATGTTGTCTACCTAGGCAGCATATTATTTAGGCAGCATTCGCACACTCATTATGCTGTCGACAGCCAAATAATTCTTCCTTATAAGATGCTGGTATTTTTTATTCAGTGCAGAAATATCTGTTAATTAAAATATAGATATGTTTAATTATAAAAAGTGATAATTTACAATGTAGTTAATTTTGTGAACATTTGTTAATGCATTAGGTTTCATGACCTAAAAACGTACGGCAATTATTTTCTTCATCATTGTTAATTGAAATATAAAAAATATGCAGTTTTAAAAAAGAATAATATTGATAAACAGTTAGTCAGTTGATGACAGCTCAATATTGGATTGTGCAGTGAGATAAACAACAGTCAAGAAAGTCTTTCAGTCTAGTGTTCTTTCTAAAATGTGCAAATCTTAGGACATACGCAACAAAATGAGGTTCTCCAGTTGTTGAAAAAATAAATTTTGACAGAAAATTAATACATTTTAAAAATAAAGTTGTTAAACAGATCAAATATTGATGACAGCTGCAGTGACAATTTGACATCTCTAGTGGTCTCTTTCGAGAGGTATTTCTTTAGAAAAATCAACTAAATAGATGGATGTGCATCTTAAAAATGTATATTTATAATAATCAGTGTTGGGGAAAGTTACTTTTTAAAGTAATGCGTTACAATATAGAATTACTCCCTAAAAAGTAACTAATTGTTTTTTTTTTGGAAAAAGTAAAGCGTTACGTTACTATTGCGTTAGTTTTTTTCACCTGGGCAGGGCTTGCTTGTTTGTTTTTAATGCCAAAAAAGAAACAAAAGTTACATTTTTGGCAAATTTAAAGGCCCTTTCACACCAAAAGTGAAATGAACAAGCCTAAGGCTGAAGAAAATTCACAAATTCGCAGAAGAATAGGACGCAGGATATTTTCTTGTAAATGTAAAAGTATTGTTACTTTTAAAAAGTAATCTAATTACGTAACTCGCGTTACTTGTAATGCATTACCCGCAACACTGATAATAATGCATCATATCGTAAGTCATTTGATTGACGCATCGATGTATTGCTACACTTCTAATGCTAATGAAAGTTTCTATTGAAATCAACTGTAAGTGTTCTCTAATTGTGTGGGTGCTTGACTTACTGCCCATTAAGAGCATTCAGATCAGCTACATGTACTCAGGAAGGTCCATGTCTTTTAAGATGTTGCCTATGTAGGCTCCTACATGATGCTCAGAAAGTTTGATGAAGCATTTGTGTGCTTTGCAGTTTGAGAATGAGCTAATCACAAAACTGGACCAGGAAGTTGAAGGAGGCCGTGGTGATGAACAATACAAGATTCTGCTGGAAAAAATGTGAGATCTTTCTCTCCCCGTATACGGTACTCTTAAAGATAATGTTTCCAAAATGAGGTTTTTGCAGCGATGCCAAATAAGAACTATCTTTGGTTCTCCAAAGAACCTTTCAGTGAACTTTTCTTTGAGTTTTAAAATTCTAAAGAACCTTTTTCCTCTATAAAGAACCTTTTTTGGAATTGAAAGGTTCCATTAGTTCTTCAAGGAATCATAGATGCCAAAAAAGAATGGTTCTTCTATGGCATCACTGGTGAAAATCTTGATTTTTAAGAGTGTACCTTGTGCTGCCACTCAAATATTGCTTCTATTCTTCTCTGTAGTTTCTGTGCCCGTGTGACGGTCTCTATGACTCTGTTTGTGTTGTGTCCAGACTGTTGGAGCGCTGTCGGCCGCATCGGTATCTGTGTCAGTCTGGTGAGGAGTTGGCTCTGCTCTTGAGTAGTCTGCTGGAGAACCTGCTGGCCTACCGCACCATCAACCACGACGAGAGCCCCGAGCTCCGCATGAGCTGCACTGTCAACGTCCTGGTGAGAACCGGACCGCGTGAACAACTTTAGTTTTCGAAAACATTCTTTATCATGCGCTCAACCTGCTGAAAAGACCAGCGAGGACTAGTGGTTTGGTGCTGGTCTAGTTTGGTGGAACACACTTTTCATCAGCAGAAATAATTGACTAAAGAACTTACTTACTCAAATAAGTACTGAGTTAATTAAATATAAATAAAAAAATATACTTACTATGTAGTAATGTGTAATTACGTCACTTTTAAATAGTGTTACCGAAGGTTCTATGTAGAAAAATGGATCTGTCAGGCGCTTCATTTATAGAACCTCTTTAGGGGTTCCCAACATAGGGTCATTTTATGGATTTAGTAGTAATTAATAACTGTTTTAATAAAAAAAATTATTTTATGAATTAAACATACTTAATTACTAGAAAAATAACCCGTTAAACATGAAAGTATTATGCAAACGTTAAAGACCTTTCCCTTATAAAAGAAACTTTTTTGGCGTAAAGCGTTTTTTTAAATTGTGTCAAGAACCCTAGCGTTCTAATATAAAACCCCAATAAAACTTTTTTTTTCTAACAATGCAGTTATATTCATCTAATCAGGAATAAAAGACGTTTAAAGACTTTCATAAAAATCACATGTATCTTCTCTCTCATGCCCACAGAACTTTTACAAAGAAAAGAAAAGGGAGGATATTTATATCCGGTAAGTGTGCCAGATGATTGAACGTTTTTGGCTTGCTGACCCACATGTGAATCTGAATGTTTTGTGGTCTTTCATTAGATATTTGTACAAGTTACGTGATCTACATCTGGCCTGTGAGAATTACACAGAGGCTGCCTACACCCTGCTGCTGCATGCTGAACTGTTGGAGGTTTGGACGAAAAATGATTCGCTTTTGTGGTCACGGTTATGGTTAGATACCGACATCTGTGCATATCTCATAAATGAGTGCACCCCCTATGAACATAAAGACACTTTTCTATTTCTAAATGATTGCAATTCATGGAAAGATGACAAAATGTACATTTATTAAACATATACTTAATAAAAACAGTGAAAAATGTGATATCAATATCTGTAAAATAAGTAAATTAGCCGATTTTGCTTAAATGAAGGGTTGCATGTCGGCGCCGATAGCCTCGTGGGGAAGTGCGCCGACATGTAGCTTCGTTGTGCTTCGGGGGACCCGAGTTCGAGTCCCGGCTCGTGGACCTTTCCCGATCCCGTCCCCCCCCTCTCTCTCCCACCTCACTTCCTGTCTAGCTACTGTCCTATCCGTCCTATCCTAAAGCGTCGTTGAAAATCCGGTTCGCGTACCCCGAAGTGATAAAATAAAACACAATTCTTTATCAAATGTATAGGCAAGACAAGTAGTTTGTTTAGGCATGGTTTGTAGGGAAATTACAAACCTGCGCACATATATTCAAACGAATATAACTATAGAATCAATGTTTAATGCGCATGTGAACGCATGTGAACGCCATCAGGTCACAGGTTCGCGTTTAAAGTCTGTTTAGAGAGAATGCCGTCGTCTTATTGGCCCCTAATGTAATAACAAATTATAATTTTGCTGGAAGTGAATCAATCAAAACTAAAAAATTAAGATTGAAAGATTGAAACAATCTCCATTGTTAAAAGCGCTATATAAATGAAGATGACTCGACTTGACTATCCAATAAAAGGCAAAAACACCCCCCCCCCCCCCCCCCCCCCCCCCCCAAAAAAAAAAAAAGATGGGTTGCAAAAATGAGCTCAACCTTGATTAAATTCGACAAACGTGTAATATTCTAGTACGTAGTATGCCCTGCATAACTTTAAGTATACTGCTTGGACATTTTTTTTGCTTTAAATAACAAAAACAATATTGCGCCATTGAATTTAGACCAGGTTTTTGTTGGTCAATGGTGCAGTCTATTTCAGTTGCCTCAAAATAGCAATGCGCCTGAACACACCGCGTTTTCAGACCAGCAGCCCATGGGCGAACAGATGGGCGCAAATGCATTTGCTATTTAAACAACGTGGCGCAGGACGTGAATATGATAACTGCATTGCACCGGGTGTATGATAGGGCCCCAGAGTGCCCTGATGTTTGATAAGGAGTGTTGCTCTTGTCTCTACAAAATCCCCCAATAGTGTTAAGGTTGGAATAAGGAAAAGGATTGCATCTCCTATGTTTCAAGATTTGGAATTACATCACACAATGGTTGATTAAGCACAACTCCCCCAATTCCTTTTTGGATGCTGTTAGGTCCCAAATGATTGATTTGGTCTCATGAGACCAGAGGATGGATTACCAGAAGTCTCTATTTTGTTAATTTGGGCCTTGAAAAAAGGCTAAATGAGTTTCTTGTGCTTTGGCTACAGTAGGTAGTTCCTGTGTAGACAACATCACTGCATTTCACTTCTGCACGGTGCGTCTTACTGTGTAAGATGAAACAGTCCCTCTTCTGACAGCTTTTTCCAGCTCTGAGACACTTCTCCTGCTCGTTTCTTAACAAAACCATCACTCATTCATACAAAACATAAGCATAAAGTAAAGGCCGTATTGTTTCAGGGATATATTTTCACGCTTAGAACATTGCTTTGGTAATTCTCTTGTACCAATGTCGTCTTTTGTGCAAAGAAATAAATCTACTGACAGTTCTCTTTCAAATGGTTCCATTGTTGTCAGCATTACGTCTGAGAATGATTCAATGGGCTTTATAACTTTTAATTGTCAAGAAATTACTCTTTGGTTCTCCATACTCACTCGTTGATCACGAAATGCCTTTAACTTGCAACAGAAAATTTTTGTTTCATTTTATTTTGTAACTTTCAGGAGGGTGTACTCATTTTGGCAACGACATTTTATCACTTTGATAAGAAATTCTTATTTCCCTGAATAATATTGGCATGTTTCTTTGGTAATTGATCAATGAGACTTGCTGGATCATTACATCTTCAAGAAACCCTAAGAACTCTTCAATGCAAAGAGTAATTTGTTAACTTTCAAAGGGGGTGTATATATATATATATATTGGTGATGGTTGAGAAGATTCCCTCTTCCATATGTGAAGCGCTTTGAGTACCCAGATAAGCGCTATAAAAATGTAATAAATTATTATTATATAAGTATATATATATATATATATATATATATATATATATATATATATATATATATATATATATATATATATATATATATATATAAAACTTTCAAAAGTTTAAACGCAGCAATAATTTCCAATTTTTTTTCTTCCTTCTAATTATAAGTTTGTTGTGACCAAAAAAGGAAGCAAAAATTGCCTTGCCTTAAACGTACTTAAATAAAAGCGAATTAAAACAAATTATTCGAAAGCAAGTAATTAACTAAATTAAATCTTATTTTTGAGCCTTCTGCAAATATATATTCTTTAAGCTGCTTTTCAGTCTAATCATCCATAAAAAGTGTTTTTAATTAAAATGCTACGTTTATAGAAAAATTCATATGTATTCGTAATTCATATTTGTCTTTTACAGTAATTGCAATCATTTAAGCATAAGCCTTTAGATCAAAATGTCTTAAGGTCATGAGAATGCATGTGACGCTATCATTTTCTGTGTGTTTTCATCAATTATTTAGCAAAAATAGGTTAAAGATAAACAAACTTCAGTGTTGTCCTCTAAATAACAAGTTTAATGACTCAATATATGATGTAAACAAATGTTTCAAACAGAGTGCAGTAGATCACACTATGCTAAAAACTATAGAACAATAATTAAGAAGAGAACATTTTCAACCAATATCTCAATATCTTTTCTGGGATAGTATGTTTCAGTCCAGATTCAAATTAAAAAATGTGTAAGTGTACATAGCGAATACAAACATAGATAGCGAATACAAAATACATGACAAGAGGTTGCCAGAAGCAAAAAAAAACTTTGACTAATACTGCATAAAATAATGTAATGATGACAAATGATACATATGAAATATTATGATATCAAAGGGATAGTTCACCCAAAAAGGAAAATTCTGTCATTAATTACTCACCCTCATGTCGTTCCAAACCTGTAAGACTTTCGTTTATCATCAGAACACAAATGAAGATCTTTTTGATGAAATCTGAGAGCTTTCTGTCCCTCCATTGACAGCTACACAACTAGCACTTTCAAGCCCCAGAAAGGTAGTAAAGACGTTATTAAAGTAATCCATGTGACTCCGGTGGTTTAACCTCAATTTTATGAAGCGTCGGGAGTGCTTTGTTTGCTCAAAAAAACATAATTGCGTTCAACGTGCGTTCATACACCAAAGTCTGCTCTCGTGGTGATAAATTGTGGCATTTCTTTTTTAGAATCCAGTATTCCCATAAAAAGTTTAATGAATAATTTTGTCTCGTCTTCTGTCCAAACATACCGTACCTTTTTTAAAGTGGTTTTTGTGACTTTTACATATACGCCAGGTGACCTGTAAATGCTAAAAAACTGTTTCCATCGCAGTTTTGCGAAACATTCCTTTTTCGAATTGGGAGTTTTTGCGGAATTGACGCGTTTCCATTATTTTTAATTCGCAATTTCAATTTGCGCAACTTGAAGGGTAATGGAATTTCAGCTTGTATTCTGAAGATGAACAAAGGTTTAAAGGGTTTGGAATGACAATAATAATAATTTTCATTTTTGGGGCGAACTAACCCTTTAAAGAGATTTGACACATTCACAATTTGCTTCATTTTTTTATCAAATAGTATATTATTCAATGACAAGGATGTCTGTCGATTTGGAAATGACATGACCTTTGCTTTGAAAAACGAATGAAAGTCAGTTGTTATCCTCCAAATCTTTATAAAAGCCAAACATTTAGCCTGTCACTCCCCAAAATCGTATTATTCTGCTTAAATTAGTCTGGTTTACATTTTAATATCTGCACTCAGAAACATATTGCTGGTTAAACTTGCAACTTATGGTGATAAGCAGATCAGTGTGATTGGCATAACTGAACTGTGCAATCTCTTTCTAGTGGTCCGACAAGCCGTGTGCGCCCCACCTGATCCCACGGGACGGAGCTCAGGGCTGGACACAGCAAGAGCTGAAGGAAAGACTTTTTCAGGAAATCATGTGCAATCTGGACAAGGGCAAAGTATGGACATCTAAATCTAATGAAAATGCTTTCATTTAATGACTTTTACATGCCATTCACACCATTTTTAGGGAAGTACAGCTGTAAAGAACAGAAAAGAGCTGTTTTAAGAATTTTTCTAAATGTCTTTTTTAAAATTTGATTTATTCCTGTAATTTTCAGCCTCGTTAATCCAGTCTTCAGTGTCACATGATCTTTCAGAAATCATTCTAATATGCTGATTTGCTGCTCAAGAAACATTTCTTCTTATTATTATTAATGTTGAAAACTGCTTCACATTTTTGCGGAAACCATGATACATTTTTTCAGGATTTTTTGATGAATAGAAAGTTCAGAAGAACAGCATTTATTTGAAATCGAAATCTTTTGTAACATTATAAATGTCTTTACTGTCACAATTTAATGCATCCTTATTGAATAAAAGTATTAAAAACAACAAAAAAACTCTTACTAACCCCAAACTTTTCAACGGTTTTGCATTTAAAGATATATTTCACCCCAAAAGAAAACATTTTTGTGTTTTTTGTGCGTTTCTCATACCTGTATTACTCCCTTGTAATGGATGGATGGATGGATGGATGGATGGATAGATGGATGGATGGATGGATGGATAGATAGATAGATAGATAGATAGATAGATAGATAGATAGATAGATAGATAGATAGATAGATAGATAGATAGATAGATAGATAGATAGATAGATAGATAGATAGATAGATAGATAGATAGATAGATAGATCTTCAAGTCTTCAAAAGACTTATAATATAGCGCACAAGTTGTATGGACAACATGTGTTTTTTATCTTTTATGAAGAAAGTCATTGATTTGGAACACTGTAAAGGAGACTAAATGATAACAGATGTTTGATTATTGAAAAGCTGTTCCTTAAAGAAGAATAAACACAGCAGATATGTTGCCATCAACACACGTTCTCATTTATTGTTTGTTTGTTCTTTGTCCACAGATGTGGGAGAAGGCCATCGAGATGGCCAAACAGCTTGTTAAACTTCACGAAAACCAAATGTTTGATTTCATAGAGCTCAGTCAACTGCTGGTAAGACAGACGTGACAGAATTCCCTCTTGTTTCTTTGTTAATGCGATCTGAAGGTAACGCCGCAGACCAACCTCCCCGAGCTTCTGCCAGAACAGGAGATGCTCTGTGATGTACAAACAGTTTAGCGAGACAAAAGCTAAAGCTTAAGCTCGTTTTGATTCACGCACTTCTTATTGATTCACGTTCTGGGTTGGTAATCCATCACGCTGTCGGCTGGGTAGCAGCCGTCACTCAGCACAGGAAATAAGCATGGCAATTGGCAAGCAAGAGGAGGAAGGAAACTGGTGCGATAACGGCTACTGTAGCAGTTACACACTCTCCTCTCAGTTCTGCCTTCGGCTCTGTCAAGTTCTCACTTGGCAGCTGACTTCAATTTGATCAGTTTGTGCTGATGAATTGGGTGCACAACCGGTTTAACTTTTCTGTCCTGTGGTGCATAAAATGTGCCATATATTAGTTAGATGAATTCGAAGTAAAATTGGGAATTTTTGCAATTGAGATGAAAAAAAGTCCCATTTATTCTGAATAAATCCTATTGTGTGAATTGAAATCATTGTATGTAATGTACAGTAACAAATACCAAAGCTTAAGTATGTAGAACACTTAAAAATTAATATTCTGTCATCATTTACTTATCCTCATGTTATTCCGCACCCAATTTTATTTTTCTTTATCACCGGAGCGCAAAATGAGATATTTAGCTGAATGTTCAGGCTGCAAAATGTTCCCATACGTTTAAAGTGAACAGGAGTGCTGTCAAACAATGACAAAAACAGCATAAAACCACCATATTTGTTGTACAAATATTGTTTAGTATTATTTATGCACTAGTGTAATATTTATTAATGCTTTTAATTAGCTTTTATTTTTATATTTACAGTTTTATTTGTAGATTAAGTTCTAGTAATTTTGTGCTTTTCTAATTTGTATTTTTTTTTTTTTTTTTTTTTTTTTACAATTTCTGTTTAGCTTTTTTTATTTCAGATTTAGTCATTTTAATAATTCAACTTAAAACAAATTTTTAAATGCTTTTTTTTTTTTAAATTTCAGCTTTATTTCAATTATTAAAAAGATTAATAGTTTTTAACAATATTAACAATAACAACACTGTGTAGTACATATGGCTTGCATGTTATATTCATAGTGTGACCCCCCCCCCCGAACACCCTCTGCCATAACTCTCAAAAGGCACATGAAAACTAAAACGCTATATTTCAGCGCTTTTGCGTTCTCTCGCGAAACTTTTGTGTTCACCCAACAATCTTTGTGTTTGCCTGCAAAACTTTTGTGATGGAAATGATGTGGGAGGAAAAACAGTGAAGGGAAACACAATTTCAATTCCATATTTAACTATAAAAGAGGCACATGGTCTGTGAGGCCAAAGGCAGAGAGCCACATTTACACAGAGGGGTTCCAAGATCTGATTCTGAACGTTAATCATGTCCATTTATGAACTAATATAAATGAACATGAATTACAGGCTCTCCTACGACCAGTGTTGTGCTAGTTACTAAGAAATAGTAACTAGTTACAGTTACTAGTTACTTCATTCAAAAAGTAACTCAATTACTTTGTTGATTACTTGCACCAAAAAGTAATGCGTTACTGTGAAAAGTAACTTTTTAGTTACTTTTTTAAAGAAAGTTCTTTAATGTTCCCATTAATGCCCTTTTATGCGTTATGGTCTACTCTATACAAACACAAAACTGACTTAAACAGAAAGTAATTTTTAAACACTATTTTATTTAAGTCAGACCAGCACAAACTGAATATATCACAAGGATTTCTGAAATAAATAACAAAACAAGCATGTGTAAAGCTAGTGATGTGTTTGCTTTCTCAACATTGATATGTTCATGCAGCTGACAGTAATACGTTTTTACTGCATGAATGAATATTTGAGCAATACAATTGTACCTTGATCATTCTTGTTAGTTCATAGTAGGCTAATTAACTAAGGTAATAACAGATACAATAACAATTTAAACTCAATTTCAAATGTATTAAGTAAATGTTGAAATTAAAAAACTAACAATGAATGATACTTCTACAACATTTATTAACCATATTTAATGCTAAAATTGTAATCTCATTGTAAAGTGTTACCATTTTATATGATTCAAGCTTATAGAAGATGGCCATATTTAAATATCTGCAAAGGCCAGAGCATTAAAATTACATAAATGTAGACCTATATATTACATGTATAGTCTTTCACTTTATTTGCCTAAATTTTAGAAAACTTGATTAGGAAACTTGATGTCGCTGCATGAACATATCAATGTAAGCAATCACGTCAGCTTTAAAAATACAACTTCGCCGGCTAATGAATGCATAACAGTGACCAGCTGGATATAAACTAATGCAAATAGATGGTAACAATTGCGACATAAAACATCTGGGTCAGGTCTGCGTGTGTTTTGGTCACATTGCTTTAATCGCTTGAGGTAAGTTAGCCGTTACTAATGTTATTCCTCTCAGACTCGACGGCAAGCTTCTGTTCTTTCTCTGTTGATGCAGCATCTAGACAAAATATTACTTTATAATGATATGGCAATGTGTACTTTAGTGTTCTGTATTCATACCGTTTCGCTGTCTGTGTTTTAAATGCGCATCTGAAGTGCTCAGCGCTCTCCGTGCAGCTTGTAATCTCCGTGCTCGCGCTGCCTCACGTGTTAACGTAAACAACTCAGCCAGTGAGTTTATAAGTGTCCTCTCGCTCTGTATAATGCTAGCAGTCTCTTCAGTGATCTCGTACTGTGTAACAGCGCACACTTCTCAGCCGCTCCAGCAACTAATTAATTTAAAAAAGTAACGGACAACGCACCATATGGTAACGATAACGGAGTTACTTTATTTAAAAAGTAATGCGTTACAGTATTAGTTACTGTCAAAAGTAACTGCGTTACAGTAACGCGTTACTGCCCAACACTGCCTACGACCTAGAAAATGGGTGAAATTCTTTTACAGAATCATAACAACAATCAAAATTATTGGCAGTATTGGCAATTATTCCGTGGTAGATTGCTGCCACTTAGACTGCCACAATTACGGTGCGGTTACGGTATCAAAAGCATTTTTATCAGAGAGCTGTAGGAACAAGTACAACAATTTGAATTTTTTTTAATGACTACTACGACCTTGATTATTATTAACCCCTTAAAATAAGCTACTAAAAGGATCATAGTTGTTCGTCTTTCCAAGTATTGGAAGAACCAGGGGTTAAGTGCTTTGATCAAGGGCATTATGGGGCAGATAACAGTAATTGAAGTCGACTGAAGCCTTTGTATTAGCAGGATTACGTGCAATAGAGGTCAAACTAGTTACGCAACAGTTTTTTGGAACCATCAGAACGGTCAAAAATAGATGAATATGTGCAATATTAAAATTTCCCTCACCCACAGCTGTCATATGACTTCACAAGAATTGCAATATAGTTCACAAGTATTATGACCTCTTTCACGTTCGTTGTATGAACAAGAGCAGCGTGAACACGCATCAAATTCTTCTTTTATGTTCTAAGGAGGAAAATAAATTAATAAAGATTTGAGGATGAGCAAATGATAACGGTGCTTTCGTTTTCAGATGAACTATTCCATTTATGCTCGACTTTTAAATGCCTTAATTGCTTATTCAAATATAAAAACACCAGTTGTTTTGTACACAGAAACAGCAGGCACAGTATTATGAGAACATCATGCACGCTATGAGACCTCAGCCCGAATATTTCGCAGTGGGATACTACGGTCAAGGTTTCCCCTCCTTCCTCAGGGTGAGTTTTGCTGGATTTAATATGGGATATGATTTTCAAACAAACAACTTGGAGAATTATTCCCCCATTTGGTGCTCAAATGTCTAATTTTCTGTTGTTTATGCGGCGTAAAGTATGGATTAAAGAGTGACACAAACATGCTGGCAGGGTCGGCTTGCTGTTGGGCATTTCGGCATCAAGCATTGCCAAAGGAAAACAGATATTCTGATTGCAGCTCTCCCCAAAGAGTTCTCAGAGTAATTGGGTTTTAACAAGAAAATAATACTTTTGTTTTCACAGTCAGGGGGTTGGAAACCCTGATGCCTTTCTTTTACAGATACAAGAGCCCCTTAGACATTTAATGAAATGATAGGCTTTGTGCAGTTATTATTGGTTCTGAATGCCAGATATCAAGCCGTGAAAATCACTTAAACAGAGAAAGAACTTTGTTGCCAGTACGTTAATAGCAGTGGCTTACTGTCTTCAATTTACATTTTTACTGTCCCTGTTTCAAAACAGAACAAAATGTTCATTTACCGCGGTAAAGAGTATGAGTGGCTGGAAGACTTTAACCTCAAGCTGATGTCTCAGTTTCCCAATGCAGTGAAGATAACCAGCACATCGCCCCCTGGTGACAACATCTCTAACTCACCCGGTCAACGTATCCTTGACCTTTAACCCAGCAAGAATAATACTGATGTTAAAGCTTTTCAAAAGCTTTTTTTGTTGGCTAAATTCTGTGAAATTTTCAGATTTATGGGTTTGTTTGTTTTATGTTTAAAAAAGATTTACTGTTAAATTAAAAGGTTTCTGGTCAGTAATTAAAAAAAAAGAATAGAATACTTACATTCAGCTGGGATGCATTAAATTGATCAAAGGTGACAGTAAAGACATTTATAATGTTACCAAAGTTTTCTATTTCAAATAAATGCTCTTCTTTTGAACTTTCTATTCATCAAAGAATCCTGAAAAAAAATGTCATGGTTTCCACAAAAATATAAAGCAGCACAACTGTTTTCAACCTAATAAGATAATAATAAGAAACGTGAATTTCTTGCTGAAAATTCACATGAATAAATTACTTTTTACAATATATTCAAATAGACAAAAACTGTTTTATATGTAATAACATTTCACAATATTACAGTTTTACTGTGTTTTTGATCAAATAAATGCAGCCTTGGTAAGAGAGTTTTTCCGAAAACATAAAAAAAAAAAATCTTACCAACCCCAGACTGTGTATGTGCCTCACATTAAATCAGTATTGTGTCCAAATGCTTTTTTGGACCAAATTGAAGTGAATGTGAACGGTTTTCTACCCTTAATTAATTCCCTGCAGATATTCAGTGTTTTACGGTGAAGCCTGTCCTAACTTTACCTTCACAGTTCAAGGACAAGGGAGTTCCTGAACAAATCCTCAAGTATGAATCAACACCCTTGTCACAATTCAAATCTATTGTAAATAATGCTGTTATAGATCTTATTTCCCTTCTGTTGTTTTCCCAGTTACTACAGGACGAACGAGGTGGACAAGTTCCAGTATTCAAGACCGTTTAGGAAAGGAGAAAAAGATCCTGATAATGAGTTTGCCGTAAGTTGCAATCATTGATCAAATATTGAATCACTGAGGCTGACCGATAAGGCAGATGAGGGTATTTATGGTGCACGAAAAAGATGATTTCAGATTAAATTACTGAAACTTTTATTTCAACATTGTTGACATTATACTTTTTTTTTTATCTACCTTGTCAAAACTGTTTTGCAAGCTTAAGTTTGAAGTGTCAAGCTCAAACCCCATGAGTGAGTGACTGATGGTTTTCATCAAGATTGTTTGTGACTTGTAACCAAGGAAATGAATGCAGGGAACTCACAGGCATACTAAACGTCAAGTCAAGTCGTCTTCATTTATATAGCGCTTTTAACAATGGAGATTGTTTCAAAGCAGCTTTACAGAGATAAACATACAATTTACGGTAACAGAGATTGTTTTGGTTTTATAGCGATTTTTGAGTAACGTTATTTCCAGCTAAAGTTAGTTTTGATTGATTCACTTCCAGAAAAATTATCATTTGTTATTACATTAGGGGCCACTAAGACGACGGCGTTCTCTCTAAACAGACTTTAAACGCGAACCTGTGACCTGATGGCGTTCACATGCGTTCACATGCGCATTAAACATTGATTCTATAGTTATATTCGTTTGAATATATGTGCGCAGGTTTGTAATTTCCCTACAAACCATGCCTAAACAAACTACTTGACTTGCCTATGCATTTGATAAAGAATTTTGTTTTATTTTATCACTTTGGGTACGCGAACCGGATTTTCAACAACGTTTTATCTGTAGAGTGGGAAAGGGATCCTCCATTTGTGTTTAAACCTGAAATTTGTGTCTAAAAGAGTCTAGTCTAAAGTCTAAAAGAGTCATTAAAATGAATGAAATGTTAAAGGAATAGTTCAAAGACATCAGTGTTATTATGTCGTCAGTAAAAATTACTCTACTTTTTATTTTTTATTCTCGTTTTGTAAAAAGCTGCTTGGACATTCTAACATCTATGTTTCTTGGAAGAAAGACAATATGAAAATTGTAGTAAAAGTGAATACAAATATTTCTGGTTCTAGCTTATGCTCAGTATTAATTGGTTTAAAACCTTTTATATGCAATCTCTATGAAATGATTAAAAAAAATCCATATCTGATAATCACAAACGACTGAAAAGAAATCATTTAAAAGCAGTAATTTAAAGGGCTCCTATTATTCTTTTTTACATTTTTAACTGTTTAATATGTAATGTTGCTGTTTGAGCATAAAAAGTGAGTTATTCTCTATATCAGTGCGCACTGTTTCTGAACTCCCTGAAACGCTTCCATTGTAGTCTCATTTATTCACAATATTCCTCATTTAAATTATTCCCGTCCAAGGCATATCCCAAAAAAAAGGGTGCGAAACCTGGTTGAGTTGTGTTAGTAGTGTGTTGAAACCTTTTTTTACAGTCTATGGTTGAAACTCACAGACCAATCACAACTCACTGGTCCAGCCGACCAATCAGAGCACACTTTGCTTTTTGGAAGGAGGGGCTTCATAGAGTTACTGACAGACTTTTCTGTCGTTAAAGCATAAAACCTATTCTAGTAGATGCCAAAAACCAAATCAAGACTTAATAGGTCCTCTTTAAAAATGTTCAGATTGTCAACCCCCTGATGATGATAATGATTTAGATGCCTAATTAAACTTTTAAAATAAAGTTGCCACTCACTAATACTAAAGAATCACCTTTATTGCCAGTAATCTTGAATGTTGTGATTCTGTGAACCATTTCACTAGTTTCTAGGTGGTACAAGAACCTGTAATTCAGTTCTATATAATTATTCATAAATGGGGATGATTACCTTCAGAACCTGTTCATGTGCAAAATGTGTAAATGTGCCTCTCTACCTTGACTTCACAGACCATGTGGATCGAAAGGACCACTTTTATTACAGCATACCGCTTTCCAGGAATCCTCAAGTGGTTTGAAGTGAAATCCATGTCTGTCGTGAGTAACTCGTCCTTCTCGAAATACTCTAAAACTGACTTTTATTGTTAAATGTCAAACGTGCTATCTGAATACTTACCTATTAACAAAAGACAACATGACATCAAAATCCTATTCACCTTTTTATCAAATGCCCCTTGAATGTGTTAATCAGTGCATGTTATTGTTTGCATAGTGTTTCATCAAATTGTGACTTTTTCTGAAATAATGTTTCTGCTAATATTAACCGAGTAGATTTTTTACTTGAGAAAATGTATGTGATGCTTGTGTGTTTCTGTTCTGTTGCTAGGATATTGCTTACTGGCATAGATCAAAATAGCCCTCCTACAAGCCTTTATGATATTCTGGTTTCAAGAAATGCCATTTCATGTCATTCTCAAAAGTTTGGGTTCCTTTGATCACCAAGGCTGCATTTATTTATTTATTTATTTTAAAAAATACAGTAAAAAAAACAGAGAATATTTGGAGAGATTAACACTTTATTTTGATAGTCCACTTTAGACATTCTATTAACTATAAGTAACTTTGCAAGTACACCAACTTATTCTACTGATTAACTTAATAAAATACTTTTAAACTTAATTATAACATTATATATAACATTATAAATGTCTCTACTGTCACTTTTGATCAATTTAATCCATCCTTGCTGAATAAAAGTTCATTACTTTTAAAAAAAAATGGTAGTGTATGATCATAATCAGATCTTATCTCTCCGCTCGTCTCATATTGTCCCTCGTTTGTAGGAAGAGATCAGCCCTTTGGACAACGCCATAGAAACCATGGAGCTGGCCAATGAGAAGCTGAGTAATCTGGTACAGCAGCAGGCGTGTGACCGCTCTCTTCCTGTGCACCCGCTCTCCATGATGCTCAATGGAATCGTGGACCCGGCTGTCATGGGCGGCTTTTCCAACTACGAGAAGGTCAGTCTTTCTCCCCTCTTTCTTCTCTTATGCTACTTCTATCAAAGGAAGGGTAGGCAATTTTCAGAGAGGCTAGCAATAGCGAGCTAGCTTCAAAACCATGAGATCCCATGCTCCCTTTAAAGTGTCTCCAATGCCACATACACGTGCACAGCAGGGAGCAAGTGTCACGAGAGACGGAGTTAAACTACCTCATGTCTCAAAGTACATAACATTACAATAATAATGAACATAAACAACTTAAAGAGCTCTGACCTGTACCACATGACTGCTGCAGATTCATTTCGACGTTGATAGTGTTGCCATTGAAACGCATACATTCAAGTCACGAACCTCTCCGAGTATAACGTCACGGGTTTCCATCTCCTCCAAATCCCAGTATTTATGGCGTGAACGCAGCATAAGCTGGTTGTTTTGGTTCTAGAGGAACTGTATAAGGCGGCTGCTGTTTCGTTTGCGGCGCTCGGTGACTGACGTCTGTCTAACTCTGCATAGCATGAATCGCGCTGATGACGTCACGTGATGTCTGCGCGAACAGGTGTGTGGAGATATGGAAATACATACGCTGACTGGCAGGTAGGGCATCGTATCATTGAATTCGGACGAACATTTTATGGCCCTACGCCTTCAACAGCCGATTTATATACATATAAATACATTTAGACCACCTAACTTAGTGATTGCTATCAGGATGTGAAGAGACTTTCAACCAGCATAACAAAAAATGTTTCTGGAACAAATCGTCTACCCTGCCTTTAATTTCAGAGCTGTAAGCTCAGTGTGCGGACATTACTCTTCTTACTTCTATTATTGTCGTTTGTTTCTCCTGCACCTGAGCCCAATAAATGTTTGGGATGTGCACACCTTTTTTGTATTTTGATTCTATTAATTTGTAACCAAAAGAAATCAAGCCCGAATCAAGCTAACATTCTGATAATACTCAGCTAAATCAGTCAGATGTGTTCAAGAGTTGCTTTTGTACCTTTAGTCCTGGTCAGATATGAAAAATTGATGTGTGTCTCGAGGCGTTAGGTCTGCTGGAGCACCGGCTGATCCTGATTGAAATTTTTGTTTCACTCCTCAGGCGTTTTTCACAGACGCCTACATGAAGAAGAATCCCGACCACCTGGAGCGCATTGAAGTCTTAAAACACCTGATTGCATTGCAGGTGACACTTCTGCTGATCTGTGTTGTGTTTAACCATTCACACAATACTCCGATTATTCACATAGAAGTGGGAGATATGACCATATACCATGTTAACTATGTATATAGAATTATTTGCACCCCTGGTAAATATGATCAAAGACGGCTGTAAAAATAAATCTGCGTTGTTTTGCAAAAATTCGCAAAAATCTAACCTTTCATTGAAGTAAAATAATTATTGCCCTGATGGTGTTTTGGAGAAGAGTATTTATTTCAAAATGTGACCCCCCCCCCCCTTTCAATTCTTTTACTTTAATGAAATAATTTTTGTGAATTTTTTGAATGAAAGATCAAAAAGATTAACAATGCAGATTTATTTTTAGAGCCATCTTTGCTCATATTTACCAGGGGTGCCAATAATTCTGACCACAACTGTATATATATAAATTATGTTATCTAAATGTATTTACATTATCGTTCAAATGTTTGGGGCTGTTTTTCATGGTTTTGAATTTTTTTTTAATTATTCTCACCAAGGCTGCATTTATTTGATCAAAAATACAGTAAAGCATTAGTGCTGCTTAATATTAATGTGGAAACTGTGATCCTTTGATTCATAGAAAGTTCAAAAGAACAGCGTTTATTTGAAATAGAAATCATTTGTAAAATGATAAATATTTTTACAGTCACTTTTGATCAATTTAATGCATCCCTGTTGAATTAACCTATTCATTTATTTTTAAAAAAAAATCTTATTGACCCCAAACTTTTGAATGCTAGTGTATATTTATATAACCATGTGGAACTGCCTGTTTTTAGATAATCACATATCTTTTGATAATTAAATGGATTAAATCACTTGATGAAAGTAATCTCATTTAAAAATAATAATAATCTAAATCTAAATTTCAATTAGCTTTGAAACCATCTACTGTATATGGTAAAACCATCTATACATTTGTACTGTTGCACTGTATATTTTGTCATATTAATATCAGGTACTGAAAAAGCATCAAATTGATCCATTCAGTGTTAAATGATTAATGTTGAAAATGCTTTATTGTCTATTCCATCTCAGGTCCCATTGCTTGATGAGGGAATTCGGATCCACGGAGAGAAATCCACGGAGCAGCTCAAACCCCTTCACAACAGAATCGTCTCCTGCTTCCAGGACCTGCGCGCCAAAGTGGAGAAACTCTATGGCGTCATTACTCTAGTGAGTCTGACAAACACGACTCTATTGAGAAGAGCCAGATCGAGGGTTTGCTGTTTTTGGGTGGAAATGTTTCAGATTTGATGAAATGATTCATACGGGATATTGTCAAACAATTACTTTGAAGGAGATTTGAAATCAGCTAAGACTTGTCAAGATTCATGCTATTACGTTACCAAGCAATTTTTACTAAGCAAAAATCCCATAGATTTACACTACCCTTCAAAAGTTTAGGATCTCCTGTGCACACAATTTATGCATTTATTTGATCAAAAATACAGTAAAAATAGTAAAATATTATTACAATTTAAAATAACTGTTTCTATTTGATTGTAATTTATTCATGTGATGCAAAACTTAATTTTCAGCATCATTACTCCTGTCCTCACTCATTAGCCATGTTTCCATCCACTTGTCAATCGAATTATCTGAAGTTCGGTAAAAAACCTCATGCGAATAAAGCTGGTGAAAGTGTGTTTCCATCAAACGGCTTTAAAGCGGATAAAAACCTGTGCGTAATGACGTCACATGCTGTTTTGCGATCAAATTGGTATATCGAATTGATTTGAGACATGTTAAGGTGTTTCCATTCATCTCACCGAATTGCACAACATTCAAGCCAACATTTGCGAACAAAGTTTTACTAGGCAAAATGGATTGCACCATAATAACGTTTCCATCCGCGTTTATCGCATAAGCCGTATATCGATCAAGATAAAATCCGATGACACCGATCGTATTTCATTTGAGTCGATATTCATGAAATTCAATAGAATTTTACTGTTTCCATAAGGCATTTTTCATTCGATATCACTTAATGTGGATAAAAACGTGTGGATGGAAACATAGCTAGTGTCACATGATCCTTCAGAAATTATTCTAATATGCTGATTTTTGGGTCAATGTTATAATCAACAGTTTGATTAATATTTTTTTTATGGAAACCATGATACATTTTTCTTTTCTTTTAATTAAATTTTTTTCTTTGATGAATACAAAAAGTTCAAAAGAACAGTATTTATTTCAATTATAAATATTTGTAACATTATAAATGCCTTTACCGTCACTTTTGATCAACTGAATACATCCTTGCTGAATAAAAGTATTATTTGCAATTATTATATATATACATTTATTATTTAAAAATGTATAATAAGTATTATTATATATATATATAAATCTTACTGGGTGGGAAGAAATTACATCACTTTAATTGAGGAGACTTAATAGTGCTAAAGTCACATTTACGGTATAAATGCTAAAAGTTAAGAGTTGCATTTAATTGAATTACTATAGAGGTCAGTGAGATTCAAGTCATGATATAAATAGAAACATGTTTTTGTCTGTATCTCCAGCCCTGCTCTCTGACCGAAAAGAAAAAGAGTCGCGTGGGGTCGATGGTGATGCCATACATCATGTCCTCCACACTCAGACGGATGTCCACCATCTCAAACGCCTCCTCGGGACACTCCAGCGGCTCAGGCTCCTCAGACGGACACTCCTCCAGGCCTGCATCCCAGGAGTCAGTAATTCTCTCGCTCATAGAAATAATCTTCCTCGTTTTCAGCAGCGCACCGAGGGCTCATTTATCGCCGGACAGAGTTCCCGTGGTCATGGAATGATTCAGTTTCCCCTGTAATTATGTCTCTGCTAGTGGAAAACATGACATTAATCCGGTTTAACCTGCATGTTTAATTGGTTCTATTATGTGCTGGTTAAGTGGGTTCTCGTTAAACACGTCCTTAATTACCACAAACTCCCCAATAATTTAGATTTTTTTTTTACATCTAGCCTAAAATCTGAAAAAAAAATTGAATCTATCTATCTTATCGGAGGAAATGACAGCCTGCTTGTTTTCCCTCAAGTATTTGCAGATGAAATTGTTCGAAATTAGTCATTCCTAGCTGGTCGTCACACTTGCCTGTAAATGGAAAAATCTTTCTGGAAAATCATTATTGTGGATGAATGATGCGTAGTCGGAAAGAACATGAAAAGTGCAGTTTCCGTTTTTCTTTCCCTGTCACTTTATGCATCGTTTGATGTCATCCGAGCGTGTGCTGCTTTATTTATAAAATATTCTTGGTTAATAATTTCCCCTGAGGTCCACTTATAATGCTAGTCAAGTTTTTTTGTTTGTCAAAACAATCAATAATTGAGTTTTTATGACCATTTTCCCTCACTCTGAGTCTGACCTTTAGAATTCAGTTTAGTTCATTTTAGCTTCACATCAATTATTAAGTATTTTAATCACAAAGCAAAGACTGTTTTACATAGTTTGTCTTTACACCCAACATTAACACGCGTTTCCTATCCTAGATATTTCTTTGCAAGTTTTTTTGTTGTTGCATTACTTAGATATTGTATGAAAAGTTGTGTTAACTGAAACATTTTATTTTTAGTGGTTGATATTGGATATATTGGCTGATTAGATATTTAATTGCATGTTCATTTCCCCTGTTTTTACATTTAGATGATGATCACGTAAAGTTAACCTTTAAAAACACTTGTAGTTTAGCAGTGTTACATGTAATCTTTAGCAAATCTCGAAGTCAATATCCATTATTCATACTTTATTATGTTGCTATGGCTTAATTCCCTTGCAGCATTTAAAACTATAGAATTAATTTTTTGTTGTTGTATTTTTCATGTATTAGGCAAAATAGTATTCTATGGAGCACATGACATGCGAAAAAAAAAAATATATATATATATCATGGCCGCGAATTAAGAAATCATTACCACAACTTAATTTGTTCCCTCATTTTAGTAAGTGGTTAGCCACATTGTACTAGTTTGCTCCCTTGTTTTGATTTAACTAAAACATTGGAACGAATTATTACAACGTGGCCACAATTTAGTAAAACGAGGGAAGAAATTAATAAACCAAGGAAATGAATTCTTAATTTGTGGCTACAATGTAGTATATATTTTACCCGCATGTCATGTACTGGGCTCCATAATATTCACTTAATAATAATATCAGTCATTTTATTGGTTATCAGCTATGACATGGAATTAATCAACATTGTAATTCGGAAATTCAAAATGAAGTACTTAGTGACAGATTCATAAAACAATCAGTGCTAAAATGTGTTGCTCAAACTGTTTCATAAACATAAACAGTTTTAGAACTTTATCCATTCAAATGAACTTGTTCCTGTCATAAAAGTGAAGAGTTGAGAAGAGTTTGGAAACTCTTAATGTTTCCTTCTGTGTGTGTTAAAACTTCATGATTGAATGTTTTATAATGTTTGTTGTTGTATTAATATGACTTTTTCATGTTAGTCAGAAGCAGTTATACTCAATGTTATGTTATGTTATGTTTGAACATCTTTGGTTTACTTAACTTCCGTTAATATCCATTTATATGTATACATATGCATCTTATGTTAACATTTATATTTCTGTTTTTAGCAGATGTGCTTTTATTGAAATGTCAATGAAGTGCGTATATCATATAAGTAGCAATTACCAAGACTGGCGTCTGGGAGAATACGTCAAAGTTCTCTAAAGAATCTCCCAGGAATAATTGCATATACATTGTTTTTTACTTCTGAAGGTTTCTACTTCTGCGCCACTCAACCCACGAGTGGCTTTCTTGTAGTCAAATGTGTTTCTAGACCTTAGATTACTAAACTAATACATAAGCAGAATGCTGTTGCACAAATGCATAATACATGGCAACATGCTCAGAGGATTTGTACAGGTGCACAAATATCTGATTGTCTCTCTTTCTCTCAGTTCACTGCTCTCCCGCGTGAGCGACAGCAGGGTTTCTGTTCTGTCCCGCTCAGAGGAAGATAATCGGATAAGTAAGAAGAACAGGAAGGAATGGAGCATGAGCAAGTCTCAGGTCTTACTGGAGCGACCCGCTGACACAGACCAGGTGCTGCTGGGAGCTTTTGTATTCATTCTTCTGTTCATGGCTGTCAGTGAGCAGTTTTAAACATTTAGGGCCAGATTCACTAACAGCTTGCGGCAGGTCAAACCCTCTTTTGACGTAAAAAAAAAAACGACTGTCAGGGCTTACTAAAGACACGCAGTGAAAAATGAGCGCTGAAAAGGCGTGGACTGGGTTATTTTTGCGGCTGACCTTATTGCATATGCATTGGTAGGAGTTTCCCTTTCAGATGCTAAATTTATGGAAGGAGATTATTTAAATGAATTACGAAAGGTAATTTACTAAGGTTTGCGCTCGTCAGTTTACTGGTATTTGGGCCATTATTTACACTATGTGGCCACAATTATTGGTACCCCTAGAATTTTTTACGAGTATAATATCTCTGAAGTATATTCCCATTAATGTTTACCTTTTTTAGCACACCAGGGTGACTAGGAACATGAAATTGTCCAGCCATGACTTCTTGTTTCACAGGAGTTTAAATATGAGGAAACACAAAGGCCAAATTCCCTTAAAGGGATAGTTCACCCAAAAATGAAAATTCTGTCAGTAATTACTCGCCCTCATGTTGTTCCAACCCCGTAAGACTTTCGGTCATCTTCGGAACACAAATGAAGATATTTTTGATGAAATCTGAGAGCTGGATCACTCCTCCATAGGCTTCTAAGGGATTGAAACTTGCCGGCCCAGAAAAGTTATTAAAGACATCGTTAAAATAGTCCAAGTGACTACAGTGGCTCAATCTTAAGTTTATCAAGCGACGAGAATACTTTTTGTACGCAAAAAAACAAACAAAAATAATGACTTTATTCAACTATTCATTTCCTTCTCTGTGGGCCTCGAGTGAGTTCACGTAGTGTAACAGCGCAGCGCTTCTGTGTTGTACATCACACGTAGGCTCACTATTGGCCGACGCTGGTCATGTGTGTGATGCGGCTGATGTCCAGCTCTCAGATTTAATCAAAAATATCTTAATTTGTGTTCCGAAGATGAACAAAAGTCTTACGGGGTTGGAACAACATGAGGGCGAGTAATTACTGACAGAATTTTCATTTTTGGGTGAACTATCCCTTTAATCATCCATCACAATGTAACAACACAATGTGGTAAAACCAAAGAATATAGTTCTGATGTGCATCAAAAGATTGTTGAGCATCACATAATAGAAAGTGGCTGTAAGAAAATAGCTAAAGAATTGAATATCCCCATTTTGACCTTCAGGAATCATTTAGGAATCTGCCAGGAAGAGTATAATGGGGGCTCGTCCGGGATATAACTGAATTAAACAGATAACCAGTTCATGACACTGTCTTCTGTATCACTGTGTGTGTTGAGGATTTGTGTGTGCATATTAACATAATGGACAGTGAGGATGAAAGTTTGAGTGGCCAAAGACCAGTGTTTGGAATAATGCCGTTTAAAAGAACGGCGTTAGGTAACAACGTTATTTTTTCAGTAACGGGGTAATCTAACTAATTACTTTTTCCGTCGTTACAATGCTGTTAACGTTACTGGACGTTAAATGCGGTGCGTTACTATGCGTTGATTCATGGGCGTCAGTTTGGTTTAAAATGTGTGGGGGACAGAGACGCATTCGGAAGTGCACTTTCAGAAGTGCTGGGTACAACGACGCAATATACGTAAATATACGGTTAGTAAAAAATATACTAATGTCATAGAACGGATACCTAATACAAATAAATAAAAAATATCCAGTTAACTAGCAGAGCATTCATTTAGTTCGCTATTAAATAAGAGATCTAGCGCTTAAATCTGTTGTTTTTGAGATCCAGCGGAGCGCTCGTGCTGCTGCGATCAGTGTCATGGATACTGTTGTTCTCTTGTGGCTCGCGGCGCGCGCAGTCTTCACTCGGACGCGCGCTTCAATCTATCGCCGTTGCGGAGACTCTATATTCATTCCGGTGAAATCACAAAATAAAATGCAAACACATGCTACACACAAACACAAATTAACAAAACACTTGGAAGTACAGGTTGTTAACTTGACCAGTTGTCTCAGGTTGAGAGAGTTTGATTTAATTCGCTAGAGTTAAATGCACTTTATATGGTGTAACTGTTTACTTTTCTTACAAAGATAATACTTGAGGTGCAGGATAAACCTCTTGCTGTCTGTCGACGTGCAATAAATATCGAAAGTTACGTACAAACACCTGTCTGTTCTACTCATTTCAACTGACTTGTGAAAACTGCTAAAAAAAAATCCAAATTCTTTGACATATAGCAACTTTTTTTTTAACAGTAACGCAAATAGTTACTTTCCCTGGTAACGAGTTACTTTTATTATAGAGTAATTCAGTTACTAATTCAGTTACTTTTTGGAACAAGTAGTGAGTAACTATAACGAATTACTTTTTTAAAGTAACGTTCCCAACACTGCCAAAGACTCTTCAAGGATCACAGATGGAGAATTGCAGAGATTAGTTGAGTCTTGGGGTCAGAAAGTCTATAAAAAAAATCAAACAACCCCTACATCACCACATGTTGTTTGGGAGGGTTTCAAGAAAAATCCTCCTCGCTCCTCCAAAAACAAACTCCAGCAAATTCAGTTGTCAGACACGACTGGATCTTCAAACGGCACAGGGTTCTGTGATCAGATGAAACTAAAAAAAGAGCTTTTTGGCAGCAAACATGCTAGATGTGTTTGGTGCACACAAGGTTAAAAAGTACCCCAAGTGCACAAGTTAATAAACCGTTGGATCTTTAATGTTGTGGGCATACATCTGCTGGAGGTCCTGGACTTCTTGTTCAGATACATGGCATCGTGGATTCTATCAAATATCAACAGATAAAAAAATCAAAACCTGACGCCTTCTGCTAGAAATCTTATAATGGGCCGTGGTTGGATCTTCCATCAGGACAACGATCCAAAACAAACATCAAAATCAACACAAAAATTTGTTACGGAGCACAAAATGAAGCTTCTGCCATGACCGTCCCAGTTCCCTGACCTGATGAGTGGAGTGAACTGAAGAGAAGCGCCAACATGGATCTGGGAATCTGCAGGATCTGGAGGAATGGTCTCTGATCTCTTGTCAGGTGTTCTCCAAACTCATCAGGCATTATAGGAGAAAACTCAGAGCTGTTATCTTGTCAGGCCAATGTGTTTTGGAGAAAAATATTTATTTCATAATGTGATTCCCCCACACTTTTTTAATTATTTTACTTCAATGAAAGGTCTAGGGGTGCCATTCATTCTGAGCACGACTGTAGAAATGGTAGCCTGGTTAAAACCAGACCATTCTCAGTTGTAACTGAGTTATGGTCTGGCAAAGCGTCATAGACAAATGATTTCCAGAGGGGCGTCACCAACGGACGTCGCGGATAGACCTAAACCCAATCAGAGCGATGAAGGAGATGACGTATGCAGAGCGGCGGAGAAACATCTCCGAGTGTTGTTCTTTGCTCGGTTTTTAACAAAAAGGAAACTTAAAACAGACGCGATAGCTGATTGGAACGAGTGATGTTCGACGGCGGCATCCATCTTTGTAATGTAGGCTACAAAATCTGCTTCAAAATCCCAGCGCTGTCGTCATCGTGTAAAGCCCGCCCCAACGTTTCTGATTGGTGCCTCGATTTCGGCGGATTGGAAATGGGCTTGAATGAGCTCTTTGCCAGACTAACTTTCAGAGCAAATCTAAATTTGCCGGAAGTTGTCTGGGTTTTCCCAGGCTATAGAAATGGTCCTGCTGCCTTTTAATTTGCACGTCATCAGTAGATCACGAGCAGAGCTTTTCACTCCCATCTGCGCTTTTTTGGAATCACGCTCTCATGCTAATTTGCCCTGTTTAGTAAATCTGGCCCTATATGCGATGACTCTACGATGTTAACATGATCAAGATCTGTTTGACGTTGATTTGTATCATTTCATAGTGAATCAAATGATTGAGTGAAATAAATTGTAGAGTTGTAGACATTTATAAAATGGACTAATCTAATATTTGGAGATATGATTCATTTGATGCGCTGTCTCTGTGTCTGTGTGGTGACAGATTCCTCCAGAGAAGCAGCCAAGGCCGAAAAGTCTGACGATAGGGGACCGGAGACTCACGCTGTCGCTGTTTCATGGAGAATCATCCAATTTGACTTTACACAACCCACTCAGCCCTCTGCCTGCCACACCACACACACCGCGCAGCTCGAGTGAGTACACACACACACACACACACACACACACTGACACTTATGGAGATGGTGGGCTTTTTTTTTACTTGATCTGTGGGTTTTCTTTACCATAGTGCTTAAATATGATAATAACTACATGTCAAAGCATTATGGTATTACTGTATGCTAATATCTCTATACCATGGTGCCACAACAGCAATGTTAAAAATTAAAAAGGTTCTCAAAATACAAAACCATTCAAAAGTCAGAGCTTGGTGAGATTTTTTAACTGTTTTTGAAAGAAGTTTCTTATGTTTACCAAGGCTGCATTTATTTGACCAGAAATACAGTAAAAACTGTAATGTTGTGAAATATTATTACAAATTAAAATAACTCTCTATTTAAATATATTTTAAAATATCATGTATTCCTTTGATGGCAATTAGAATTTTCAGCATCATTACTCCAGTCTTCGGTGTCAGATGATCCTTCAGAAATCATTGTAATATGATGATTTGCTGCTCAAGCAACATTTCTGATTATTATCAATGTTGAAAATCATTTTGGGTGGAATTCTTGATAAATTTGATAATTTACATCCATTTTTTGATGAATAAAATGATCAAGATTTAGCATTTATTTAAATCATTTGTAACAATGTAAATATCTTCTGACCAACTTAATGTGTTTTCTACCGAAATAACAAAGGTAAATATGAGAATTATGCAGCGATCAAAAGTTTTAGACAAACGACAATTACTAGAGGCATGTAGGGATGATGTTATAAATACACAGATCATCATGATCGAACACACTGATCCGGGACATGGCACATCTGTATTGACATTAATAAACCTCATATTGATCACCTTCCCGTAGGTTATACGTGTCTCCCGAGCGAGAGTGACTTCATCACGGACATCCCTCCACCAATGCCACCCAAGAAACACCCTCACGAGAGCGAGAGCATCTATAACTCTACTTCTGAGGTGAGACACGGCATGTACAGTCTACATGTGGAACAAAGTTACATTTTTAGCAGTAAATTTACACTTTGTGCATTCATCTGTATTTTGACCTAAAATCTTGATGACAAAAACGGTATAGAAAGCTGAAACAACATTTACAGACAGAAAATAATAAGCTTTTCCTCTGTCACCAATAGTTCACGCCTCCTTTACCGACGAAAGCTGAAATCAAGCCTCCACCACCGCCACCCAAAACACGCAAGTCCATGTTTTCCACTTACGAGAGCAATCCACAATAAAGACACTCCGGTTCTCCTGCGTGCTGTGAGGGTTCCACTTATAGAGGAAAAACATCTGAACGCTACTATTCTGAGCTGCGATTTGTGATGAAAATTTGATTGAAGATAATCATTACATTTTTTTTTTGTAGCAAAACAGCAAAACGTTTTTTTTTATTTGGAAATGAACTGAAAAATGTATTTATTCATCACTGCTGTGCAGGAACGTGACCAAAGGTTGGTTTGAATGTTCAAATCGGCCTCACATCCACTGGATTCATTAGTTTATCTAGACCTGTAGCTGTGCCTTATAAAAAGAGATATTTAAAGTTATTGAAGTTTTTACTTCCTCGGTGCACATATTCACTTTGCACATTGCTCATAATTGTTGAGTTGTGCATTCATGCAATTAAACCTTTTCTAGTTGAACTTGTTGAACCAAGGACTAGGAAAAGACTGATTGTGTTTGTGTTTTCACTGTAGAGATCTACATTTGTATGAAAAACCCCAAGCATTTAAGAAAGCCTGTGATCTAAATCAGTATAATAATGCAAGTTTTATCAAATAAAAAAAACAGAATTCAGGAATGTGTCAGCACTTAAATCTCAGCTAGGTGAAGCGTAGTTCTTCGCGGAACGGTACATTTAGTTTGGAGCTGGGCCGGTCGGTCCGCTCCATGCTTGGGACGGCCCTGGTTTGGATCAACATACTCGCCTATGGGACGCGCTAGGAAGGTTTGCGATCACTAAGTCATATCTAAGGTTTGCTGGTTCATGTACCTCAAGTCAGAATATCACTTCAGTAGTGTGTGCACTGTATGGAAAAGCTGTATTTGTATTTTTTTTTTGCTCATTATGTGTTTTTTTTTCTTTTCTTTATGTGATGTTTTTTATTTTGTCATTCCAAATTGGTCTCTTCCATTGTGATAGAATGCAGCTGCAACTTTGGATGTGTAAATTATTCATTGTAATGTTTTTGAATACAGCGCTCCAGTTATGAATTTGTTTGTACGTATAAACATCCGAATAGCAGGAGTTCACAGTTAAGGTTCACTGGGTAAAAACTACATGGCATTAATGTTGTTTGTAATGGGTTCTCATATTAAGGTAATTTGCATAAAGATCGCATAGTTTTGTACTTTAAGAGTGTGTTTTTCTTTTTTTGCAAATATGATAATATTTTATTGATGTGCACATGGGAAATTCTATTTCTGAACGAAATGTTTTGTACATTCTGTATTAAACCATGAAATTTTCAGAACAAATGTGATGGAAATGACACAACATTCCAGGGAATCCAGAACAATGTTTTTATAAAGGGATTGTAGGTGTAAATATAGAATTTTTCTTTACGGAATTATTTAAACTTGAAACTGTAATTTAAATTAGATCTGAATGAATGAATTAGTGTTTTTTATTTTAATTTGTTCATTCTGAACAAAAATACAATCCACTGGGATTCTGGCCTGGATCATTTCAACATTCAAACACTTTTTTCAGTTTAGTAAATGCATGTTTTTAAAAGTAATTATTTATATTTGTGGCCAAAGTTAGCAGGTTTTCCACCTGCAGGCAGAGACCTGTTAAAGCCAATGGACAACAACCAATCAGAAACTGTTATTGAGTATTTTTGCACTCTAGTTTGAATAAAAGTGCCCAAAAAATATCTTGAATCAAACTGTTTACTAGTTTTTTCCACTAATGGATCTTAATAGTTGAGTCAAATTACCTTTCCGTCTAAATAAATCTTAATTTGGTTTATTTTCCGAACTTGCCAGTGTGAGATTTGTTGTAACTTGTTCTGTTTAAATGTTTAGAATTTGCAGGTGAAATCAAATGACAAAGAAATTAGTTTCACACTTTTCAAATAATCACATTGAAAATTGTTTTTCTTATTTTAACAGGCCTATAAAAAAATAATTCCTATGGAAAGCGTAGTTGTCCTTGCCCAAACCTCTTCTAATCCTTGATTTATACAAGATAGAAACTTGCTGGAAAAAATAAATAAAAATCAGTATTAATCCAGTATCAACTTCAGACTAGCGTATGCTTGGTGACTTATTTTTATTATTTTATTCATTGTTTTATGTATGTTTTTCTTGTACAGCGCTTTGAGAAGCTGCTTTTAAAGGCGCTATATAAAATAAAGTTTATTATTATTATTATTAATGTAATAGTCTATGGCTATATTGAACATAAGCAATGTTTTATTTAGTGGCCCTAAAATTATTCAAATGATTCACAAAAATCTAAAATCATATACATGCACTTTTTATGACCTCATATTGACAACATTGAATATTTATATATAAATAAATAAAAAAGGCACCCTGCAGTGAAGGCAAGAAGGCGATCAATTGACTTCATGTGTCAAATACTTCTTGGTCCACTGTATGTTTTTACTGGAATAAAATGTAACTTGTCACAATAATTTCAAGTACAGTAACTTGCCCTATTCTTCTGAAGTCATCCAGACTCTGTCCGTAAGGTGATGACTGCTCAGTGAGTGAGTTTCCGCTGACATACGCGAGACCTGGATACGCCAGAACTGGAGGTCGTGATCGAGTGGATCAAAGCACCTCTCCGTCCCTCAGGCCTGAGATTACAGAGGGAATCATCTCGCCTGTCAAGGTGTTCCTCTTTTTCTTTTCTTTTTTAAATGGAAACTTCTCTCTGTTGTGCTGCATGATAGTATGAGCCACACAATGTCAAGTATCCTCTAAACCTGCAAATTATTTATGTCCTTTTTATTTTTTGATTTGTTTTGAATGTTGAAGATATGATTTTCTGTTCATTTTGTTTGATCCCAAACCAGAATAGATCGTAAAATATGTGCTGTTCACTTCTCCACGGTTCTCCTTCTGAATAAATGCTTGATGCTTGAACGTCATAGTCTCTGTATACGCCAGTAAAATGATTGACTGCTAAATAGCCTTTAATCTTACATTCCACTGATGGATGTCTCCATGGTAACACCACTTTAAACCTGCCTTCAGAACAGGAGATCCTCGGTTTTTCAGTCGGGGGAAGCATAGATATTAAACACTATATTTTTATATTATTAGTCTAATAATGTCTTTCTTCTGTAAGACCCAAACTGTTTAACAGATGCTGGATGTTTAGAAGCATATTCACGTTGGTCTTTTCTGAAATAATGAATCTTTTTCATCAGGTAGTGTCGTATCTGAAAGCATTGGTTTTTTTATTGGGCAAATATGGTTGGATTCCCTGCACTTGAGTTTCTTTTGATCTTTACTCTCATTTTTCTCATTTCTCTATTGGCTCCAGATTAAAAAAAAAAGAAGAAAAAAAAGAATACTTTTATTCAGAAAGGATGCTTTGAACTGATCAAAAGCGACAGTAAAGACATTTATAATATTACAAAATATATGATAAATACTGTTCTTTTGAACTTTCTATTCATCAAGGAATCCTAAAGAAAAATATTTAATAGTTTCCATAAAAAATGAGGCTGCACAACTGTTTTCAATAATAATAATAAATGTTGTTATGAATGAAGGATCATTCAAGATTTATTTAATCACAAATTACATTTTAAAATATAAAATACTTTTTAAATTGTAATATGTTTTTTTATGATTCACTGAAAAAAATGATTCTGACCCCTTGTAAATGTTACATGTTTTTATCTGGTTAATTTCACTGATTTTAATGTGTTATTTAATCCTACTTATTTTTTATTATTAATTTTCAAATTCACTGCCCTTGTTTAAAACAAGCTCATTTTATTCAATTAAAAGTAATTAGAATTTTTTTTTTGTTTAATTTAAAATTGTGGCAACAGATTACAGGTAACATTATTAATTAAATTGAACACATTAGAATTGAGTAATAATTAATCAAAATAATTCCTTAAAAGTTAACCATTTTCAAACTGAGAGACTGATTGGTCGTCTGAGTAAAATGAGCCCGCCCCCTTGTCTCTATGGCACTGCGATCCAGTTCAATACAAAATCCCTATGCATTTTAAACAAAAATATCTGATTAACAGACAGACGTCAAAGAAGTAGTAAGAAGTCTTTATTTTTATTGCCAACATTGAAGACACCTGATGTTAACAAGCAGAATCACTGAAGGAGAAAACCGTCATTTCTTTTAATGTTACCATTATGGAGATTAGTGTTTGTTTTAGTTGGGCTCTTGACCCTAAAAATCATTTACTTTAGGATTTTGTTTGACTGCTGTACCAGAGTCAGTAATGACTTCTGAATCTCAGCCATGGTGACAAACTGATCAACTCTGATCATAAGTTCATTATGTATTCATGAAGCAATGCATGATGGGAGCAGTGAGACATTTATTGATTGGTGCACCCAGAAAAACTGCAACATGCTTTATAATTGTCACTGTTGTTGAGATTCACAGGCTGATTCTTGACAAAAATTAGTAAATTCAATTCAAAACAGTTTAGCTAATCTTACGAACATAATTAATCTTAAATTACTTATAAAATTTAAGTACAACCAATTTACAAAATATAAGTACACTCAACTTAAAAAATATATCTGGATTTAGATACATTTATCGTTCAACCCCTTGACATAATAAAATTAAGTAAATTCAACATAATTTTTTTTTCAGTGTTGATAGAATGTATACAATTTTATTAAACTTTTTAAAAAGTATTTAAACACTTGCGCCACACTTTAAATGTCTGAATGTCAATGAAGTAGTTGGGGGGAAAAGAAATATCAAAGCAAAGTGGCATTTACTTTAAAGAAAAAATAGCGCTTTTAAAGAAAAACATTTGACCGAAATGTTTAGTTGCCGCTTGCTTTGATATTTCGTTATATAATGCAATGACATTCAGACATTTTAGTTGTGTTGTGTCCACTCTGTCAGTCACTGCAGATTTCTGCAGATCCGAAAGTCCAAAATGATACAGAGATTTTTTATTTTTTTTTGCATCCAGTACTTAAAATGGTTGACAGAAATGAGTGTAATTAGAACCTACTTCAAAAGCAATTTCTCCTGTGAGGTCTTTATAATAATTATAACCCATATACAACCCCAGATCTTTATTGTTATCTTTATACCTTGGTGTGACCAGGTCTTAACGCTGTGTTACTAGACGGCAAGGTTTGAATGTTGAGCATTATTTATTTGTATTCGTTGCATTTCAATGTGGATTATTTGGTACATTTGCAAACAGACTTTTACGATATGTACTTGACAGTAATGCAACAACATGTAGCCTAAGTAACCGTGTTTATTCTAACGCCTGATCTGTGACCAGTGATTTCTGATATGTAATGATTCATGAACAGTCAGATGTTCTTTATCGATGTGCCAGTAAATCAAACCAGTGACTAAACGATCAACATCACATGGTTTCTCTTAGTAGGATGAAAATTTAAACTGTGTTTAAATTATAGAAAGGGATCAAAGAACGCTCCCTTTAAAATCCCTGGAGCTGTCAAGCAAACAGCAGACCAAAACTCCCCGTTATAGGCAACGAATCACTTATTTACATTGTGTTTGCACTGTTAGTTATGATGAAAGCATTCGTTAGAGTGTCGAAATAGAGTTGCAATGATGAGATCACTGCATTCATGCGCTCAACGCGTCTGTGATCGGCTACAATGCCCATCACTGCAACCTTTCATGCCACAATCTAAATAGAATGCGATAGATTTATGCTATAATCAAAACTTTTCACGATTAGTAAAGCTTGAGAGCTGTAATAGAAAAAAAACATGCTAAAAGTTTTCGAGAGAGTTCCACTTGTAATACTTGTTTCATATGCAAAGATGTCAGCCAATCACAGTAGTGGGCGTTTACACTGTCTCTCAGCAGACACGCCCCTTCAAATCAGAGGGTTAAAATCAGGCTAGGAAAAATGCCTTTTATTTCTAAATTATGACAATTTTTTTTATGTAAAAATCATACTAACATTATAAGTGCACCCCAGGAAACATTATAAAATAATCAAATAATGCAGTTCATGACCCCTCATGAATGAGTCTGTCAAACTATTGGAAGAACCACTGTGGTGCTTTATGTAAACATTTTGTTTTGTAACTTTAAAAGAAAGAAAGAAAAGAAATGTTTGATGAACTGCAGTACACTTGCACAGAAGACGCTGCAGCATATTTCAGTCCACAAAGGAGTTCCTTTACACAAAAGGCAAACAAATGTTTTATACTTTATTCATGTCAACCATTGAGAAGTTGCGGTAACACAAACCTTCAAGGACTAGTAGAGCAGAATGAGTGTGCAAACTTTCAAGGCAACACAATGTACAATAATATCTAATGCTCAGACCTTAAAGAATGAGTTATGAAATCGCATTGTATTATCTCAGGTGAAAAGAAATCTAAAAATGTCTTCGCCCTAGAAAAACAGCAAGAAGCTACACAAGCTGTATCATTTCTAAAGGATGATAGCTGTAATAACGATATTAGCATCCACACCAATGGACGATTTTGTTCTGTTTATTCTTTGTCGTCTGCCGCTATAAATGCTCAAGCTCTTTAAAGCAGGATGGATTCTGATTGGCTGTCAATGTTTTTATTGCGCATCAGCTGGAAAAATCGTTCTGAAAGCGATTCCAATGATATTGTTTCTCTGTGCCGTTATCATTATAGTTGTGGTGGTGTGGACTCTGCTATTGTTTTATATTTAGAATGATTATCTTTAATGTTACTGTTATAGTTAACTATAAATATATAGCAAATACCTAGGAAATATTAGCGTGCAGCCGTGGACACCAGCAGATGACATCGTTCACTGCAGTTTTGTTGTCTGTCGCTTTAAATGCTCAAGCTCGTAAAGCAGGATGGATTCTGATTGGCTGTCAATGTTTCTCTGTGCCGTTATCGTTATAGTTGAGACGTGGACTCTGCTATTCTTTTATATTTAGAACGATTTTGAGAACTATATCTTTATCGTTGTCGTTAACTATAAATATAACTGACGTTATCTATATTAGCGTGCACCAGCAGACAACATTGTTCTGTTTATTTTAAGCGTCTGCTTAATTTGTCGTCTGCCGCTTTAAATGCTCAAGTTCTTAAAGCAGGATGGATTCTGATTGGCTGACTGGTTTTTATCGTTCATCAGCTGAACAAATCGTTCTGAAAGTGACTCCACCGATATTGTTCCTCTGTGCTGTTATAGTTGTGGTGTGGACTCTGCTATTCTTTTACATTTTAAAAACTAAATCTTTATTGTCATAGTTAACCATAAATATAACAATATCTAAATTAGTGTGCATACCAGCAGGCGATATCGTCTGTCGCTTTAAATGCTCAAGCTCGTAAAGCAGGATTGATTCTGATTGGCTGTCAATGTTTCTCTGTGCCGTTATCGTTATAGTTGCTGTGTGGACTCTTTTTAAAACTATATCTTGTCATTATAGTTCTCGTCCCTGATGTGAACGGGCCTTAACTCCAGGTCTTAACTCCAGGTTAGTGCCCGTGGCTGTGCTCATGCGGTTCTGTTTTGACCTCTTCGACCTTCATGCTGCTGAAACAAGGGTACTCTTCTAAAAAGAGGTTATAGGAGGCGATCAGTTCCTTCCAGTAGCTCTTTTTACCGTAAACCAGCACGAACGCGCTGACCGTGGTGTAGACGCTGGCAAAGAGAATGGACAGTGCGAGCGTGTTCTGCCTCATCAGCACCACCGTCATCTGTGTGTAGATGTCCATGGCCACGAAGCAAATGTACACGACCACCAGGCTCAGGGTCATCTTGATGACCCGCATCTGCGTGCCTAACTTGGGCCCGTGGGCTCCGTTGCTGCTGGCCTTCATCTCCAGAAGATGTTTTGCCAGGTGGTATGAGATCGAAATGCTGCATTTGACCATCACAATGCCCGGAAGGATGTCGGAGATGATCACGTAGTAGAAGATGTAGGCGAGCCCGGTCGTATCGGTGGGCATGATGGACCCGCAATCGCCAAATTCAGTGCTTGTGCCGTTGTAATAAGTGAGAACGCTCAGCAAGGGAACGCAATTGGCGAAGCCGCTTATGAAGATGAGCGCCAGGGCGGTGTGGACGTGCTGGACGATGGCCTCCTGGATGCGTGTGTAGAAGTGGACGGGCTCCATCACCAGCTTTGTGCCGTAGTAGAAGGTCAGGAACGCCGTGCTCCAGATTATGATGAGCTTCAAGCTGAAGATGAGCACCAGCAGGATGGCCGCCATCAAGCTGATTCGGCACACGGTGTCGATCACGTCTATCGTCTGCCATAAGTAAGTGAGAACCTGCTGGGAGATGCTGGCCAGGGCGATGGCCGTGATGATGAAGTCGGCAGGGTTGAGCTTGTGCTTCTTCCGGTAGCTTCTGTTGGTGACCAGAAGCAGGTACATGTTGAAGAAGATGGTGAGAATTGCCAAGAAGCCGGTCAGCATCCAGGCCACGAGTTTGCCCTCAGGTGACAGCATGATCGATGATGGTCAGATCGATGGTCTCAACATACACAAAGGAAAGAAAAGAAGATCTCTTTAAAATATTTTCTAAGAGATTATGGGCCCTATCATACACCCGGCGCAATGCGACGCCAGACACAAGTGTTTTTTGCTAGTTTCAGCCCGACGCAGTTATCATTTTCACGTCCTGCGCCACGTTTAAATAGCAAATGCATTTGCGCCAATCTTTTCGTCCTGAAGTACTAAAACTGAACAAAAAATACTGAATAAAGCTAAATATATTTTTGTAAATAATAAATAATAATAGTAAATAACTAAAATAAAAATGAAAACTGAAAAGATATAAAAGCTAATATAAAACATTGATAAATAATATTTAATATATATAAAGAAAAGAAAAATATTTAAATGATATAAAATATATATATATATATGTGTGTGTATATGTAAAAGTGTTCAGTTAAAAAAATTGTAAACCCGTTGCCTTAAAATTAAGTAAATAAACTTAATGCTTAATTGAAAAAATTAAGTTATGTGAACTTGACAATTCCACATTACTTAATTTTTTCGATTAAGCGTGAAGTTTATTTACTTAATAATTTTAAGGCAACGGGTTTCCTCAATTTTCTTAAGTTAAGTCAACTGATCATATTCTCTGACTCATTTTTCTTTAAATTTCTACAGACAACATTGATGCATAAATGAATGAACACGTATGTTTTCTTTGTGAACCAGTGTTATTGCTAACTAAAATATAAACTTAAACTTGAAAAACTAAATTATAAATGTTGGCAACTCCCTGAAATAAAAGGTTTAAGCTGAAATACTAAAAGTGGCAAAATTACTAAAGAAAAATAAAAGAAAGAAAAAAGAAAAAAAATATTAAAAGACAAAAGTCAAAACAAAAATTGACACAAATTTGAATTAAAATGAAAACTGAAAATATAAAAATAAAAGCTAATCCAATATATACTACAAATAATATTAAAATAACAAACAGTGAAGATACCAAACGTCAAAGATCAATATCAGCTTTTTGATGCTTCCATATTTTGCTATGTTCTCTTACTGTACGACAGCTATTGACTCATTTGTGTGCTTTTATTTCTTTAAAAAATAAACAAAGGAGAAACATCTGACACAACACTGATAAATAAAATAATATGAACACATACGTTTTCCCTGGGAACATGCACACATACAGTAAGAGTTAGGATTCCTTCCAAAATAATATTTCATTACCTTGTTTGGAGTTCTCAAATATTTTCCTTCATGTTCACTGTGCTTGAGCTCCTCGTGCATTTAGGGGATAAAAATACCAGACAATGATGTTCTGTTGTCATGGCAAAATGCATTTTCTTTTAAAACAAATAGTAAATGATAGGGAGAAGACTGAAAGTGAATTGCTAAGGTTGGTGCTGCAAGCTCTTGATAACAGACAAGTGACTTTTATACACAAGATTTGAAGGACAATTTTCATATGCTGACAGTAACCATATTTAAAGTAGTGTATTTTATGGCACAAAAGCATGACTAGTCATTCTATCCACTATAGCTGACCAAACGTTGTGGTACAATTCAAATGGCATTGGGGGCTGGGGCTTTTAGTTTCGGGTTTTATGCTTCAGGATTCATTCAGCCAGATTCATTTCCTTTCTTATGCAAAGCGTTATGTTGTCAGACACAATTTCAACGACAATCTGTGTTTGCTTTGATGATTACAGCATTTATATAATCCAGTTAATGAGCATTATTAAGGGTCACAAGTTATTTTCTTAGATGGGGAAAAAAAGAAAAAGAAATCTGTCTTTTTTACACTAAAAACAAGAGATTGTGTTAAATAATTCACACTAAGAGGAAGTAGATGGACAAATACAGTAGTGACCAAAAGTGATGGGATGTTTTTAATGACCATAATAAGTTTGACTAAACCATCGAAATAAATCATTCTGCATTCATGTAGATCCATACAAAAGTGATTTAATTTGACAAACACAGTTATTTTTGAATAAGAGACAACATTGTCACGCCCTCATCATATACTGTAAGTCTGGATAAAATATTTAATGAACTTTTTCTAAAGATGAAATGAAGTAAAATCTAACTGACATTAGAGGTTGACTTTTCTACATTTATTTCTAACAAGGCTGTAAGATTTTAATACAGCCGATATTAATCGCCGTTTCTATGCCATATGTTGAAAGGCACCTGCACAAACCTGCTGTTCTCATTATGAAATCATATTGTATAATTATTCAGATGTGCTCAATGTAAATCGAAGCCAAATCCTGTGGTGGACAAACTGCTTTGCCTGCACCCGTCCTTCCTGTGCTAATGCACCCAGAGGTTTTATTTGACTAGCACACATCCCACCGAGACTCATAATGAGAAGATCCAGTCCTCATTCACAAGACAAATATAGCTCTCCTGGCATTCATATGCACGACGCACATTAATTGTAATATTGCTGTATAACATGCAGGTGATAAAATGGCCACGTAAATGTGTTGCTTTTGAAGAACTTTGGTGCTTTCTTGTTAATTTTGTTCAAAACATTCAAACACATCCAGCAGTCCTTGCCTTGAGCCAAACGTCTTCTCATTTCCTTAGTAACCCAGCAGTCGCTTTTCTCTGCTTTCTCGCTGATACGTAGAATCTTACATTACCCTGACATTTTACCCACAGATCCAGCAGATAAAAGCATCACATTACCAGGAGAACCTACGATATTCTGTTTGTGCATCTCATAAACCATGAAAGCTGGGTATTAAATAATAAATCATAATGCATTCATGTAGATCCATACAAAGTGATTTAATTGGACAAACACGCAGCTACTGTTACTTTTGAATAAGATAAATGGTACATCTTCACGCCCCCGCCATATATGTCTTTATAAAATATTAAATTAACTTTTTTTAAAGATGGAATGAAGTAAAGTCAAGTCACCTTATGTTTTATACAAAACAGATCATGTCAAAGCAGCTTTACAGTGATAAACAGGAAAGTAATGATTCAGTAATGCAAACAGAATTCGATTAAAGAAAACAGTATAATCAGTCAAGTCACCTTTATTTATATAGCGCTTTTTACAATACAGATTGTCTCAAAGCAGCTTCACAGTGATAACATGAACATAATACAAGAAGTTTGTTTAGAAGAAAATTGCGTCATCGTCCACCTGAAGTAAGGCAGATCAATAATATTGTTGAATATTAAATGTCCCCAAACTAAGCAAGCCAAAATCCAAGGCAACAGTGTCGAGGAACCAAAACTACCTCAGGTGACAGAATGGAGAAAAAAACCTTGGGAGAAACCAGGCTCAGTCGGGGTCCAGTTCTCCTCTGGCCAACGAACGAACAGCCTATGCAGCTTAATAATCATTTAACTGATTTGAATAATGTATAATGTTCTATTTGAATACCTGGTAAAAGAGATGTGTTTTTAGTCTAGATTTAAACTGACAGAGTGTGCCTGCTTCCCGGACAATGTTAGGTACTGTTCCAAAGTTTAGGTGCTAAATAGGAAAAGGATCTACCGCTAGCAGTTGATTTTGATATTCTAGGTATTATCAACTGGCCGGAATTTTGAGATCGCAATAGATGTGAAGGACTATAATGCGTTAAGAGCTCGCTCAAGTACTGCGGAGCTAAACCATTTAGTGCTTTGTAGGTGGTCAGCAATATTTAAAAATGTATACAACGTTTAGGTAGCCAATGCAGTGTTGACAGAACCGGGCTAATATGGTCATACTTCCAGGTTCTGGTAAGAACTCGAGCTGCTGCGTTTTGGACTAGCTGTAGTTTGTTTATTAAGCATGCAGGGCAACCACCCAGTAGAGCATTACAATAATCTAGCCTTGATGTCATGAACGCATGAACTAACTGTTCCACATTTTTCATTGAAAGCATATGTGTTAATTTAGATATAAGATGGAATAATGCGGTTTTACAGATGCTAGAAACGGGACTTTCAAATGAAATATTGCTATCAAAGAGCACACCCAGGTTCCTAACCGACGACGAAGACTTGACAGAGCAGCCATCAATTGTTAGACAGTATTCTAGGTTATTAATTGAGGAAGTTTTTTGGCCAATAATTAAAATCTCTGTTTTTTCAGAGTTAAGTAGTAGGAAATTACTAGTCATCCAAATTTTTATATCAGCTATGTATTCCGTTAATTTTGTTATTGTGTTTCGTCGGGGCACGAAGAAATATAGAGCTGAGTATCATCAGCATAACAGTGAAAACTAATGTCATGCTTCCTAATGATATCTCCCAAGCGTAGCACGTACAGAGTGAACAGCAACGGTCCTAGTACTGAGCCTTGTGGTACCCCATACTGAACTTTTGATCGATAAGACATCTCTTTGTTTACTGCTACAAACTGATAACGGTCAGATAAGTATGATTTAAACCATGCTAGTGCAATTCCACTAATGCCAACATCATTTTCAAGTCTATTTAAAAGAATATTGCGGTCGATGGTATCAAATGCAGCACTAAGATAGAGAAACACTAACAGAGAGATACAACCACGATCGGATGATAAGAGCAAATCATTTGTAACTCTAATGAGAGCTGTCTCAGTACTATGGTACAGTCTAAATCCTGACTGGAAATCCTCGCAGATACCATTTCTTTCTAAAAAGGAACATAGTTTCTGGTAATTTTGATAGAAAAGGTAGAAATACACAATAAACATAATCATATAAATCATACGAGTTAGTCACTTAGTTTTCTTTAATTTTAATTAACTTTTTAAACTTTAAACTACGCACAGGGTTAATTTTAAGTAATTTCACTGTCTTCATTTGTGTGGGTGTTTACTTCTGAAAACACGCTATTTATTAGGATATATTCCATTTCTTTCATTATTTTCCTTCTATTCTCAAATTTGATGAAAAATATGCTATTTATTAGGAAATATTCCAGTTCCTTCATTATTTTCTTTCTATGCTCAAATATATTTCAGTTGTTATTTAACTTATAGATTGTTCTTGTGTATTTCCTGT